AATGATCCATTAATTCGTAATTATTACATATTTTTCTCTCGTCCCAGTCCCCCTCTTAACAAGAAACGTTATAGTTTACAAAACGTAGATAATTTAAGAAAACCCCGATTAATTCCATAAACTTTGTGTCAATAGTCATTGACAAAAAGTGAATTAAATTACAAGTGATATTTATAAAGTGGTGTAAATTTGGATTGAAATAAAAAGTCAAAAATGGCTGTGGCAAGTCACATGACACAGATAATGCATTAGCAATAATAAAAAATGAATGCTTATGGGGAGTAGGTATTGAATTTAAAATATTAATGCGAAAGGTAAAATCCCTACTAAAATAGACCACCCCCCTCCAAATTTGCAGTGCCCCATTCCTTAATTCACCGGAGGAACAATAATAGCGCCTTATGCCTTGATTTCCTGACTTAGGAATTTACATAGTGCTAAGACACTCCCTCACTGAAAGGAGCGTAATAATGCAATGTTAATTACATATCTACTCAGTCACGTTCAGCATAAATCCACTACAACCACTTCTTTCAGAAAAAATTTTGATTATTAAAAACTTACCATCCAGTTCTAGATGAAAGAAGACTAAAGGAAACCGTATTAAGGATCTGGAACCTTCCAACTGGACAAATGTACCTCTGAATGAGATGTATAATTTTCCTGTATCTATCTCTTCCTGAAAGAATGACAATTTTACGTGTATTAAAAATGTGTAAAGATAAACAACGAAATCACTTACACAAAACATTAACAATTCTAATATCTACTGTGTAAGAGGCATTTTACAAGAAAAGATAACGCAAGCAAACTTTCAAAGCTTAACATGCAAACTCTGTTAAAGATCCAACATGCCCATCACCTTGTCAGAGGTATAACAACGAAAACGCATTTGAAATTATAAAAAGACATCATCTATATAATAAGTAATAAGGCAAAAAAACGTGACGAGCAGAGTACGTATCAATGCACCCTCTTTCCTCGCCTTTCCCTATTGTATGGACATTAGTCCATCACATTCGCCTTCACCATGGACTGAAACAGAATCCGCGTCGGGACGCTTAACAAAACATAACAACATATACTATGATTGACAGTCGTAAACTGGTCTAAATCACAAGTTACGTTTACGTTAAACAAGAGAAGCAAAAAATAAAGCACATATGACATATGAGATACCTGCTTAAATTCTGAGATCATTGAGCCTTTTTCCTATCTGAATTGTCAAGAGATGCTTAACCGAGTAAAGCTTCCTCTAGTGGATAGACTTACACAGAAACGGCGGTCAAATATATGGTGGCCGATAAGGAAAATACATACCACAAAACCCAAAACAGAAACACAGATTCCAAAACGGAAGCACAAGGTGAAAACCAGAATCACAAAACACAAAATAGAATCATACAATTTAAAAAAAAAACTGAAAGTTTTCCTTGATGCCCGTAATACACGAAAATAGACGTGCAAAACCCTAAAAAAAAGCATACGAGCAAAATCGAAAACCCAAAACCCGAAACAGAAAGATAAATCTCTAAACCGAAATACAAAACCCCGAACAAGGAACACAAAACAGAATCGGCTCCTGACCCAGAAACAGAAACTCAAACTGATGTAAAATAGTAGTTTCTCATGCTGCATCCCATCTAAGCACACGACGTCATAGTCATTATGCTCTTAATCAACCTGGTTCCCAGGGTATCTATAGTCCCCATCCTCTCATGCTTCATCGACGTGCAGCATTCTGGTTCCCGGAGTCTCATTCACGCGGCAGGTGTGTGGGAGGGGCGGGAGGAGGGGGTGAGGAAGGGTGGCTTTGCACGACGGCCAGGGCCTCCTCTGATGTAAGCGAATCATATCATTCGATGTATCGTGAATACGCTGTGTACGACTGGAAAAGAATCTCCATTTTAGTTTTGTTTTCAAGCAGATTGTCAATTTCAGTTTAGTGGGTACGGTAGCTCCAGTTTACTTGCAAAACTCATTTTACATTACAAGTAAAGAATCACTATGGTTTTCACCCAACATTATTCACTGACTATTCAGTAATACTGTTTATGAAATAAAATGAATTAGTAAGGGTTGCCTCTCCAGTTTTTAATACACGTTCCCCGTCTCCAATAATCCCCCAACTCCCGGCCTCCTTTAACTTCAACTTAGCCAACTTTATTTGAAGAAATATTTGCAAATATACAACACAACACAAAGAACCACAGCACGCCTATCTATGCTGTGTAAAATGCGATACAGGCTAATCTCTCACGAAGATGCCAAACTACGATTCGCTGGTCATTCGTACTCTACTCGCTCCTTAGAGTACTCTCATATACAGCCGACAGCCATAAAGGATTACTACAAGTATTCGTTCTACCCAAGGACAATCACAGAATGGAATAAACGGCGAAGGAAAACAGAATTGTCCAATTCACTGGCTGCTTTTAAAAATGCAATTTCAAACATTTATTAACACTTTTATTACTCTGCCCTCATAAGCGCCATTTCAGTCACTTTTTTTAGAGCTGTCTAAAATGCCCAGAATTGAGTGACAGACCTAAATGTAAATGTAAATGAGACAGGTTCGCAAATAGCAGTTGCAAATCTGAGCGGAACAGTCACGCTAAAACATTGCAATGAGAATATTTACTAAAATTACAAAAGGAGTCTTAATTACTTAAAGAATTTTTCGTAGTATACTTAAATGAAGATACATTAGGGACGGACCATTAGAAAACTTATGGGGGTTGGCGGGCGAAGTACAATAAAAAATATTCCTGCAGGGGAAAATTAAATGAAAAAAAATTCATCCACGCCAATTAATCCTAAAAAATATTCATGCTATGGCCTAAAAAAAATTCATACAAGGAATTTGATGACGAAAAAAAATTCCTGCGGCTCGAAAACTCCTCAACCCCCCAGTAACTTTTCTAATGGTCCGTTCTTTACAAGTTCAGTTTCATTAAGTACGTTTGAATGAAGCAACTTTTAAAAGTTCTATTTATGCGTTTTCAGATCAGTAGAGGTGATTTGGGAAATATCAATATAGTCATCATGTTTTATTAGGATATCAACAAGGAAAAGATTGAAATTTCGTTTTGAAGCGTTTTTTTGGGAGATCTCTCTGAATGATGCTGGTAGTTCATTCCAAATTTTAGCTCCTACTCTTGAAAAAACTCTCTTTTGGAGGTCTAGCCTAGATTTCTTAATGTGGAAGTTATTTGATGGGGGAAGACCGAGTTCTGTAAGAATGAATACTATTAGTATCGCTGAATACCTTTCGATTTCTTATATCGTGCATTAATCAGCAGACACTGGCTGGACAAATTAAGCGCCCTCCGCTCCCCCCAGGTTTATTAGAAAGATAACGATATATTAGCCGAGTTTCCAGTCGTGAGGAGAACAAACCCTCCTAAAGAAATTTCGCAATAAGAAATTCCACGAATTCGAAGTTTCGTTTCTTTTTGTTCAAACACTGATTGGGGAGCCATCTGCTATTGGGTCTCCACACTAACTCCGATCCAGTGCTTCTTTAATAAGTAAAACACCTGAAAAGCCAAAGTCTGAGATTGCTATTTCTAGCCCAGCTTATTTCGGTTAAGAATGAAATTTTATTGAACTACTTTCAAAATGAAAGAATGAGAAAATGAGCTATTTGTACGATGGCGTCACTTCACTACGACGACCAGAATCCTCTTCATCTCCCCTTTCATATTTAAATTTGGTAATCCCAGCGAGTGGAGTTTAAAGTAACAAAAGCCCTAATTTGAACAAGAAAGCAAAACCCTAAAGTATTCTGGTCGTTGTTGAATAATGTGTGGTCATCGTGCAAAATGGCCCGTTCAGACAATCAATCAGAATGCAATCTCTAAATATCAAAAAAATATATTTTATTATAAACCTTAGATTACAGCGCAAACAAAAAATTCTTCAAATCCATTTGGAATTCGCATATTTTTCTTTCTTTCTTACTCATTTGGTATTGACAGGAGCCTATCAAATATCAAATTTGATGGGCTCCTGGTATTGAAACGATAAAGACGTTCATACCATCCCGTAGTTCCCTCAAAAACCATGCCCGATTCCAGACCAAAATGGGCAAAGTGTATACCCGTTTTCAGACCAAAACCGCGCAAAAACCCCACCCGATGGGGCGGCACTATAGCTTATATAAGGGAGTACCCCCCTTGGGTAGCCTGGTACACAGGCTATCCCGGGGCCGAAGAATAAGAGTGTGAAACTGACCCGAAGGGAAATTTCTGTGTGGTCAATGTCATGGTAGCCTGAACTTCAGACAGGAGCCCATCATTTGACGGGCTCCTGCTTCAGACGATTACATCGAGTCGTTGTTACTGAGGGAGAAGAAACGACTTTTTAAAGTAATCGTCTGAAATTCATGCTAGTCAAGGGCATTTTTTGTAAATTTCTTTATGCGCAGCAGCCCTAAGCGATACCCAAATGGACAAATATGGTGACACTCTAAGTGAGACCAAAATCTACAATTTACGCCCCAAAGGGTGACGACGAGAATCCCCGTCAATTTCAATGGGAATCCTCCCACCCTAGACTGGGAGCAGTCTCTCTTTTTCTTCAGATTAAGTGAGAGCAATGCACGCGCGCGGGAGCGGCGAAGCCGCGAGACGCGCGAAACGAGGGCGGCAGCATGCCTCTCTCATCTCGCGCCATCAGTCACATCTCATCTCTCTCATCTCGCGCCATCAGTCACGCGGCCGCTTGCGTGTCTCGCGTTTTGCTCGACGGACTACAGAAAAAAGAGAGACTGCTCGTAGTCTATCCCACCTCGCCTCCAAGTTCAAGGGCGCAAACTCGATCACGTGTAGCCTGAGAGCAAGCCCTCCTATTTGGGCAAGTAAAGCGAGCCTCGCGAGAACGCGCGAGCGAGGGGCCGTTTAACTCGAAAGCGTGCTCGCAAGCTAGATCACGTGCAATGGGTTGTCCGATGATGTCATAAGCAAAAAGTGTTACGTAACAAACAGTACCCCTGTTGAATGACGGGAACAGATGGCCAACCAGTCACCGCCACGACATCACGTGACGAAATTGTTGTGAAGAAGGCCAGCTCATCCGACATCGAGAACAGCGGACAGAGAAGTGCAATGGCGAATTTGGTTTTCGATTCACCAGTTACTTTAGTTGTAAAGACTCCTAACCAAAAAGTGGACGATTTAAGAATAGACTGTGCATTGGAGTGGTCGGTAGAACAACTAAAGCGACATCTTTCTAGCGTGTATCCAACAAAACCGGTGAGATTTTGACTTCCGTTTGATAACTGCGTTTCAAGCCACTAATGTTGGTGAAATTTGGTCAACTGTTATGCTGATTTCTTGTTTTTCTTTTTTCAAAGGAAAGCCAACATCAAAGACTCATTTATTCGGGGCAGCTGCTCAACGATAGTTTAATTCTAAGAGATGTGCTGCGAGAGGTAAGAATCAATGTTCGATAAACGTAAATAAACAGTTGAGAAAATCTCCATATTTTCTTAACTTCCTTCAGCGACGACTACGCTTTATCCAGCAGCTGAGCACACATGCAAACTCTATCGGATTTTAGTTCTATGTTCAAGCGGAGTTAGTGATTTAAGATAGAATGATTTGCTTCATGTAGGTTAAGACTAACATGCGTTGTAAGTAAGCATTCATGTAAACGAACGTGAAATTAGTCAGATTCAGGTTTATTAGCATATTTGAGTAATATATATAAAGACCTCTGTCTTGATTTGCAAAATTATAATTTGTTTCTAGTGATTTTAGATTGAAACATTTTGCATTTTCCGCAAAGAAGCTCAATAGGCATACATTCCTTAAAATGTCGTGGCAAAAAATGTGTTGAGCTCAAGCTTTCTGTTTGATTTGAAAAAAAAAAACAGACTTGAGCTGTCCCAAATAACAATTTTTATGAGCGAGCACTAGCAGCATTAAGAGTGTGTGGGTGCCTCAAACTAAGTGTTAACTACAAAAAAAATAATACAAATTCAATTATATATAATTGTACAATTATATATTAATTATACAAATTCAATGCCAATTTTTGCCATAATACATGTATATATGGTATAAACCTAACAATGTCAAATTTTGAAACCTCGCAGTCCCCCAAAGTCTGGAGTTTACCATTCTATTCAGGTCCCTAACCTACTCTAGCTAGGATAAGCCTTGGTAGGTCATTAATAATACAATTCGATAGTTTGCCCTGGAAACCGTAGAAACAATCGAAAAATCCACACTGTATAGCTTCTAATGGGAATAGCTGCTTACATTGGATATAGCAGCCAGGAGGGTTCAAATACATGTAGATCGTCAAGCTTGCAGAGCAGCTTGTGGGCTTCAGTATCCTGGAGTAAAAGCAGTTCTGTTTGCTTTCATAAGAGATACATGTATGGAGCAGGTGTTCGCTAAGTATTCCCAGTAAACAGCATGCAAAGAAAGTACATGTAGTGTCTGATAGCCTGGGGCTAGAGGATTTTCGGGCTAGTGTCTTTTGTTCTTAGCTTGCCCAATGGGTAAGTGAAGTTTTTTGAGAATTCAAATTACAGAAGGACTGTGTATTCAAACCTGCTCATCAAAAAGCTTTTAGGGCTAGTTAAAGTGATGTTTGGGCTAGTACATGTACATGCTAGCTACAGCTAGCCTGAATGGCAAGCTGTAAAACTGACTTTCTTTGCACCCTGCAGTAAAGGATTTAATAATATTTAATAATGTTCCTTACTGTCTGGCACAGCTATGACATAACTTTCTCAAAAGGTTTTATTTGCACTATTGCATCACAGATTTTTTTGGATGCAGACTTGATACATGTAGGTGCAATGTAGAACTGTATATTATAACTCCACTGGAAATCAAAAACAAGAAGGAAGTTAAAGTTTGTTTGTTTGTTTGTTTGTTTTGTGATAGCATGAGGAAGGCAAGCAACACACTATGCATCTTGTTTGTCCAATGGCTGTGGAAACAAAGTCAAACAAAGAGTCTCGAGTAACAGTAAGTATGCCCATATAGAATGCACAGATAACATTTATTTCTCATGCTTAAAATTTTCACCCCTAGGGTTCATGTGATCTGCAAGTAAGACGTAAAGCCTGTGGAAGCAAAAACGTTTGTTGCATAGCTTGTAATAATATGAACTGAACTGAAAACTTTATTAATGTCTTGTATCTTCTTGTCAGTTACATGTACAGCTGTAGCGTACTAATCAGTTACGCCTAATAGTTATTATTATACTAGCCATAACCAAAGGTTACAGAGTGCGGGCAACAATGATCGAAGGCCAAAACACTTTTGCTCTAGCACTGTGATTTGCATAAGTTTTATGTGACAGATGGTCAAAAATGCACGTGATCAGTATTTCGAGTAATAGAAGGTCCGAACGCACGTGATCAAAAGGTGTTCTGTGCATTCCATACATTCTTAGTGGAAGTCCAAATGAATGCTGGCGTGCAAAGAAAGTCATGTCCGATAGCCCAGGGCTGTATGCCCGTATGGCAAGCTGTGAAACTGGCTTTCTTTGCAGCCTGCTGCATACATGCGACGCATGCATAATAACAACCTGGAGATTAGGATTGCAGGCTCCTCTTGTCGCCCACAATTAATCAGATTTTATTGTTCCTGTTTAAATGCGTAGTTTTTTAACTTCAAGGATCACATCTTCATGCTACTTGTACTTTCACTCATTCTCTACCTTCAATAATATAGCAGTACCGTAAAACTTTTAATTCCTCTTTTTCATTACTGAATGTCCTGAATATAATAATACGTTTGATGTGACCTGAATTCTTGATCAAGAATTTACTTTGATTTCAGAGTGGGCCCAGTGTTCCAAACACCAGTAGCAGCACTTCAACAAGTTCAACTTCCTCAACACCCGCTATGTCCCAAACTAACACTGATGGCCTGCGATACAGAGGACCTAACACACCAAACTTTCCTCAGTTTCCTGTATACCAGTGAGTTTCCGTTATTTCCGGGATTTGAAAACAATTTCAGTCATATTTTGTCTGTTTTTGCTGAAAAGGAAGTAATGCTACTTCCTAACAACATGTAATATAATACTACCTTTTAAGTGTCTATGATACCTTCTCACACACTCTGAAGTATTCATCACACTCTAAACATATGTTAACACAACGGTTTGAAAGTATTTGTTTGGTAAGAATTAACTTAGCAATGAACATGCATGACTTAAGGTTCCATTGTTTTATTGAAAACTAATCAACGTGTATCTTCAAAAATGTCTTCATGTAGTGTGTTGGTTAGTTATTGAATTTATTTTGTTGCTATTTATTAAATCACAGCCAGCAAATGTCTCATGCCACATACAATTTCCCTGTCCAAGGACAAGGGTTTGCTATGCCTCCATTTGTGGCACCGCCATACTGGATGCAACAGATGATTGCTCAGCAGATGGCACAAGGGAGATTACCTCAACCTAACATGTATTTGCCACCAAACTAGTAAGTGTATTATCAAGTAAGTATATTATTTTGCCTCAAGGCATTTTGCTCAGTACAGCTGTTCATGGATCTGTTGGAAGAACTGATGTCTTCAGGGACTGTTAAAATCTACATGTGTTCCTGTATGTACAGAGAAAACTTTAGCTACACATGTACAGTGTAACAGCACACTTTCCAAAGGTTATTCAGAACAATACATAAACCCTTAAAAACTGATACATGTTTCTGTGAGAGAATTTTTATATTATATTATTATTTTTTATATTATTTAACTGCAGCAGGATTAGCTCATTTGGTAGAGCGCTTGACTGCAGAGCAGGAGGTCACGGGTTCGATTCCTGGGGCCTGACTAGTACTCAGGGTCTTAAAATAACTGAGAAATGAAGGTACTCCCTTTGCACTGCAAGCAGCGAGACCTTCATCACGTAAAATGGCAGTCCAGTCTCCATTAGGAGACATAAATATAGTGTCCCCAATTAACACTTTCGTGCTAAATACATTGACACTCAAAGAAGGTGCATTTTATTGTTTATTATTATTATTATTTTTTATATTTTTACCAAAAATGAGGTTATTATTATCTTGCCAGCTCCCTTACATGTTGCTAAGGTGTCTTTTTTCCATTCACAACATGTCATAGGCTGTGCAAAAACATTTTTGTATTGGTACACTGTACTGTATTGTCCTTAGACCCCACCACCTTCGCTGAGTTCTAGATGTGCAGCTGTTAGACCTTCTTGTCATGTTCAAAGTTCACATATTATGTGCCCCGTAACAAGAAGCACTATCATGAAGTTTTAATTTACTAAGATCAACATGATACATTTCTATTTTTCTATCTGCAGTGGTTATCCACAAATGCTCTACCCTTGGTACCAACCTCCTGGAAATGTCCCTGTACCTCAAGCACCTTTAATAACACCTCCACAGACACCCCCTCCTCCTCAACAGGCTGCTGCTCAGCCTGCACAGGCACCCCAGCCACAAGCCAATAATAACGCCCAAGCAAATGCCAATGCAGGGCCTTTGTTTGATGATGAAGATGAGGATAATCCTAATCGCGATTGGCTGGACAAGATTTACACCCTCTGTCGTATAGGAATCTTGATGAGCATATTTTGGTTTTACTCATCGACTAGTAGATTCCTCTTATTGGTTGTCACCTTTCTGTTAATCTATTTGTACCAGTCTGGGATTCTTAATATCTTCCGAAGAAATGGCGGTAAGTTGGCTCCTCAATACACTTTTTGCTACATGTACAGTCTACTAACATTTGGTAAAATCCAACTAGTGGTCTATTATCAATGCTGCATTCTGATTGGTTGAGCTACTACTAGGCTATATGTTATAGCCCACTAGTAGCGAAAAGCGCTGGATTTTTGGCAGCAAAAAAGGATTTAAGTGTTGCTTTAGGTTGTTTTGTCTCGATATTTTTGACCAACTACTTGGATTTTACTAAAACAATATTCCTCTCGCCCTCATGGCCTTTGAGTCAATGGCCCATTCAGGCTCGAGGAATAATTGTTAAAAATACAGTGTATGTGGAAGTTTAATAGTTAGACCTTCTATACTAGACATTAGTGATATGCTAATCACAAAGTCAGCCATCACTGATTGTTACAGAAATATTTTTTCAATTAACTTAATAATATTAGTGAGTCAGCAAAAAGTTCAACACATTAACCAACCTTACACACTGTATACAGTATACTAATAATGTTATAAGCAACAGGAGAGAGTGGACAACACTACAACAAAAAGAAGGAAAAAAAAAAAGTAAACAAGTGAAAATGAGATTTAAAAAACAGCCTAAAAATGAATGCTGTTAAGTTGACCACAATTCCTTTAATGGACACCATCTCAAAAGAGAGCAGGTTATATGAGCAGACTTATTTGCCTATGGCTTCTTAGAAACAGTGTTTTCATTGTTTGGTGTTGATACCATCAGACATGAGGTTATTGTTCTTTTAGGGTGGCAAAATGTACTTACTGTACATGTACATGTATATCTTAACACATGAATACTTAATGCGTAAAAACAAAGAGCAGTGTCGCTGTTGGGATGATACCTTAATTTACAGTTACAGGAACATTATAAATGTGATCTATTTTCAGAAAACAACCGGCAACAAGTTCCACCTCAAGCACCAGCAGAACCTCAACCACAACCAAGACAAGATACTAATGTAAGCATTGCTACAGATAAACTCCAGCCTCCTTCAATAATAACTTTATTGTACAGGCATAGTTCAAATAAGTGAAAATCTGTTGAACACCATGTTGTGCATCATGCACAAATGTAGAGTTTACATTATTGGGCTCAAAATAACACCCAGTCAACAGACAATGTCTGGCCAAGATGACCATTTGTCCTAACAAACTTATGGTTTGCAGTTCATTTTAATGGGACACATCATTACATGCGACGAGAAAAAATACATTTTCACACCATTACATTTAGAGGAACAGCATATTTTTTAATTATTAAATATGTTTTTTCTTGTTAAGCTAGTACGTTCAAGTTATTGTTGTGTTATGTCAAACATTTTGACCTGTCAGAGCCTGAGGAGAGTCATGACCAAGCGAAAATTTTTTTGGTTGGTCAACATGACTGGCAACAGTTCCAAATTTATTTATTTTGATCTCTGAAATTATCCAACAAGCAGTTATTGATTATCCTGTATTACATGCAGGCCCCTAACAGATCACCAGATGATGCAACTGACGGTAACACAGAAGGGAATACAGTCGAAGACAGTGAACGCGGTGATACCAACGACACTACAGAACGACCGGCCCCTCCTGCCCCTCCCCCAGGACCATCAGCAGCAACTGTAGCTTATAACTTTGTCACTTCATTTTTTACGTCACTGTTTCCCACTGGACCAGCCGTCCAGAACTGATTCATTGGTGGTGATCTCCTGACCAGAATTGAAACGGTTAACTCTTGTAACTGAACCTGGATTTACACTAGTGGCACTAAGCCTTCTTCAGATGAATTGGCCCTGTAGAATAATAGTCATCTGTTTGCCAGCTTGTATTGCCCAAAATCTTGTTTTCTACAATGGATTCTTCATTTAACCAGCTCCCAATGAGGATTATTTATGGAGCAAATCATAGTTGATAGAGTGGAGTGGTTATGAAGCCTGTCAGACTCCTTTGATCTACATAATATTCTTGTGTACCCGATGGTTCAGGAACTTCCATAGCATTCCTATTATTTGATCTTGCTGACGAATCCAAATATCACAATAGTTGTGAACAAAAAACAATGGTCTGAGCAGCGTCGGGGAGTTTCCAACATAAACTGCAGCACCGTTGTTTTATCTTTGGTGTTTGCGGCCTTTCATAACCAGTATCTTGTACTAACTATGAGGAAATTTAAGCAGATAAAATTGGCTAACTATTGCTTCCTGCTCAGTAACTTACAGTGTACTGTAAGCGTGGGGAGATTTCCTAGGGTACATGAATGTTTATTCCAGTACAAAATGTAGTTAACTTCGTAAGGATTATCAGAGATATTTTTATACACCTGTAGTATAATGCACCTTGTACATGTAATGTGGTGTCACCACCAAGTCTAGTTAATATAATGCTATTGTTCGGTATTATACATGTACAGGCCAAAACGGGAAAATTTGAAAATTCTGTGTCACTTCCGAATTTGCAGGGATGGGCACATTTATTTTGGTAGAAGCAGTGTTGCATTAAATCTTTGTTCTTTCCCTTTGAGGCACGTTGTTTCTATTGCAGCTGCAGTTTACTTTAAAAACTTATTTTTGCTGGCTACTGCTTAGGGGTAATATTTAGCAAAAAAAAAGACCACATAGCTGCACTTATGAGCTTTCTTTGTGGCGTGGGACCTTAAAGTGGACAAGGTCCTACTCATTGGAAAAGGCGTCTTTTCTACCTCCCCCTTTCTTAGAATCAGACACATGCAAAGTTTTACATGTAATTTGGGTTTTGTTAAAGTTCTTACAAGCTTAACTTGGACAAGTTGCGTTTACATCAAAGCAACCCACTCAAGTTAAGAGCAGTGTCAGTTTACTTTGGGCAGATGTCCTAGTTGGTTCTTTATTTTCTGATGTCACTATGTTGATGTGATTGATGTTAAAAAATGACGAAGAGGTGGTTTAGAAAAATATCTCCTTTTCTTTTGGAAAAAGATATCAGTTGCACACATTTTGGTGGCGGCAGGTCAAGTGAAGTCTATGTCTAAGATTTCTTTTTCATATTTTGTCTTATTAATAATAATAGTTTTTACAGAGCTGCAAATAACAGCCAACTAAACTTGGTCCATTTCCTACGAAATCTTAACGCTGGTAAAAAAAAAAAACGTTAGTACCAAAGATGAATAAAGTCTTCCGTGAGCGTATGTGAATTTTCCTTGGTCGGAGTATCTCTAGCCGCGCCTAACATGCATAGTTTTTCTTCAAAGGCGCGCAGAAGTGCTTCCAGTTGTTTTTGTCAGAAGCTTTTCCGTTGAATGGTGATTTTATAGCCGGACACGTGTCCTTTCTAGGAAGAAATTATTTGCGGCTCTGTCTGTTTAAATGGAAACCATAGCTAGGGTTGGAAATGGGGAGGGGCGGGGGGCGAAAGTGGGGTCCTGTTTATGTAGGGTTGACGTTGTACATAAGAGATAAGAAGGGTGAACGAGTCATGTAAATAACAAGAGAAATGTAACTTAGAATTTCAGTACAGTAGAATATGAAGTATCTACTGGTCATGGCGATAGGAATTAAACAATCGTCTCTACATTTGAAGGTGTGTGTTTGTTTTGTCGTATTTATGGTCTTAAACTATATAGCGTGGGTGAAGGCTTGTCGCTGTCTCCAAAATCCGGTGAAAGAAAAAAAACGCTCCAATGATATTCATATATATGTCAGTTTAGTGAAGTGGGACTACACTGTAACTTGTGGTCCACGACACTACAGCACAAAACTTTCAGGCAAAACGATGTCTCCCTAGTGTAAGCTACAACAAAGTCTTAAATAGGTCCAGATGACATTCATTATAAAATTTTACGAAAATTGTAACCGCCTGTTTTGAAAATAGTATTTTTCATAAAACGCATTGGACTCAGGAGCCCTCGTTGACAAGGTCATATACTTCACGTAAGTAAAGTTAGGACTACAGTCATCTCTCGCCTTGCGGACACCCCGCCCTAGCGGACACCCTGATAACACGGACAGCAGCTAAATCCCCTTCAAAAATATATGAGAGATGTTTGGCTGAAATAAACTCCTGCTTATTACGACACTAACTCAAGATCCCTACAGAGTCCGCTGTAAATGGAGTTGATAGTACAGGACCGGTCGCTTAACTGAAAACAAACCAAAGGAGGAAAGAAGTAATTGTTTATTTCCAAGTTGAACGTAAGACTGTAAGAATAAGTATAACGAGATCCCTTTTTTTAGCAGGTGATTTCACTGGGTACCCTGTGTTGTTAAGCATCACATCCATACACCTTCACTCTCATACATACATAGTTGTAGGTAACGGGGTAAAATCGGACGTATCTTGCAGTGACGCTACGGTCCAAGATGTTTATGACTGGTGTAAAGTGATCACAGTTGCCGTAATACACCTAAAAGGGTGGAGAAAATGAGACTCAAGAAAATAGACTGAGAGCAGTCTCTCTTTTTCTTCAGATTTAGTGAGAGCAATGCACGCCCGCGGGAGCGGCGAAACCGCGAGACGCGCGAAACGAGGGCAGCCTCTCCCGTCTCGCGCCATCAGTCACGCGCGTGGCCATTTGCGTGTCTCGCGTTTTGCTCGACGGACTACAGAAAAAAGAGAGACTGCTCGTAGTCTACTAGAAAATCACTTGGCAAAATGTTGAACCAATTCTTGGTGGCAAACAAGTGACAAGGACGCCATGTTGGAGGCCAAGACAATGCAATTTTTTTTTCTTGTTTTTTTTTGTGGAAAATTTGCACAAAAAAAAAAACGTTTTAGGCTGTGTTCACGCTACTGACAAGTAAAAACCATTTCAGGCTGTGTTCACACTATTGGCCAGTAACAGTCCCATAAGTCTTTGCGAAAGTCAACTCGACCCAGTTTCTTCTCGTTTCTGAAGTGGTGTTGTTAAAGTCATATGGGCATCCCCATTCCCAAAACCCTAGTGATATGGGCATCCCCTTCTCTATTACCTTAGCGATTTGGGTTAGGGTTACAGAGGATGCCCATATAACTAGGGTTTTGGGAATGGGGATGCCCATATCACTGTGACAGCGAAAAGAAAACCCTTCGTTCATAGTTTTAAGAACCCTTCTGTCTTGCGCTTACGGGTCCAAAAAGTTAGGGGAAGGGGAAGAAGAAGGGCTACATCTCACCGTTTGATAATCAAAGTCCCAGGAATTTCCATCGTGACTGAAGGCAAGCTTGAACGACTTCACGTGCTCGTAATACTTGTGCCGACCTGGAAATTAAATCAGTTAGACATGACCGACATACTGCTGGAAAGTTTGGCATTGTAACCATTTCATTTTTTCTTTAACGTCGTCCGACATACTTTGCTTGACAAAAAGAACAAAGATTCAATACAACAATGCCAAACTTTGCGGCTACTTGAGCTTCTCGCAAATTTCAATTTAGACAGGATTACGTCACACATGATCCAAAATGGAGAGCCAAAATACTGAATTTGAGGTAATATTTGGGGAAGTATCTCGTTAGGATTGGATAAACATTAAAGGCCTAGAGAATGGTCATTTACCAACTAACAATGGAGATGTTTTTATAGATGTTGAAAAAATAATCACTTCCCTTCTTGGGTGACCTTGTCCTTTAATTACTAACTTTGCAAAAAGTAAAAGACATCATTATCTCTAGCTTTATCCGAGATGGTCAGGCCCGCGGAATTGAGAAAGCACAAGATCACGCGCTCATATTTTCGCGTACGGGTCATTCTTGATATTTGAGACCTTGGAACAGGCTACTCTAACCTGTGAATACAGCCTTCTCTCCTCGGTCCTTGCCGTTAGGGACGGCGCGTTTCGCAGGGGAAACATCTCTAGCGGCCAGGAGCGAGGAGAAAAGACTGAATTCGCAAACGACACTACCTTAAAACTTTGGTCTAGCGACATTTTTAATCTATGTAGTGTTTCTGGTCATCATGGAAAAGTTCTGCAAAAGATTTTCAGGCTTAACCTTACAGTGAAATGCTGTTGTATTGTAATTAGAGTAGCCATTTATCCCAAGTAAATAAGGTGACACCTTAAGCTCGTTCAGCGTTTTCTCAAAAGTTGAAAAACTAGAAACCCGGTACTGAATAGTGCAACTAGTGTGACCATTGCTCTCAGTGTTAAGCCCGTTTCACGCGCTCAGATTGTCGGGACGGTGCAAAGAGATCTGAACGCCTGCAACAGGCTATCAGATTTATTTATTTTAAAAGACGAAAGAATAACACCGACGATAAATAACTTTTAAGAATCTTGAGTTTCAAAAGGTAAAATTATAAACGTATAGGAAAGTATACAGTAAACATCTGTCTTGAACACCTTGAGTTCCAACAGCGGTTATGTATCTGTTAGTTCCCAGGTCCACTTGGAGCCACTGATTTTCAAAAGTAGCCGCGCACCAGCCTCCCACTCGTTTATTTTTGAAATCATCAGTAAAGTACATACGTGCATTGCGAGCACCGCAGTCCCAGCCGGCACCTGAAATAGACAAAGACGTAAAGGGAAAAATAAACATGTTTTATCCACCTGTGACTCTCTTGAGTATTTTCGTCTAAATACTGAAAACAAACTAGCAAAAACAAAAAATAACCATGTTTTATCCATCTATGACACTCGATTACTTTCCTGCAAATACTGGCCAAAAAAGCAGCCGGTTAAAAACGCGACAAAGTGCTTTGTTTTACTTGGGGTTAAACATTAGAATGTGAACTATTTTCTCATTTTTTTTTTTACCACGCTCTAGATAACAGATGACTCAATTACATTCGGCATTTTGTCTTACTATCTATCATGGTTATTGACTAAGCTATTGCTAAATTACCAACACGGAAAAAAAAATTAGAATAAACATGCAGACAAAAAAAGAATTGGTTTGGTAAACAAAGCTCAAAGCTCACTTACCCACATTAAGTGACGAGGAAGCATTAAACGCGCTGTCTGGTAAGTTGAAATTCCAGCCAATTCCAAGTGGGTTGGAACAAGGAGCTGGTTTTTGTGATAAGTTAGACAAAGCAAATATTAAGACTTACTGAATGATAATGCAACTTTCAACCTTTCATGGTCAAAAATAGCCCAGTTCTGGAAAGCTAACAAGCGTCATTATGAATAAGTTAAAAGTACCCAAAAATGGCACCATATCAAATTACTATCAATGAGGTTACATTTGAGTGGACACCCCTCGTCCACAGAACTCAATCGTTAATTTCATTTTCTCTCCCCGTCAAAATCGAGCTCCTGCAAATTTAATTTTGACACTTAACGTACCTCGTATTCTGTAAACTAAGTATACGTACAAAAACTAACCCAGGGGTCTAACAGGCTCTTTGTCACAACGCTTGGATCCACAGCTCTTTTTGCAGTTTTCCTCCATCCATCCTGGGTTTGCAGAACACTGTCCCTGCTTGGCAAACTCTGGACACGTTGGATGCTGGTCCTCGCATTTCATGCCTGTAATCGAGAATGGAGGGTAAAGAAAAATTCCAAATAATAGCAGTTTGTTTGTGGGAAAAATAATAATGGCGACCTTCAGATTTGACTACCTGAGTACGAGATCAAGTACGAGTAGGCCCTTGGAGTTTCGAGCTGTTTACTCTTCAGGGGCACCCAACTTCAATTTTCGGAAAATATCTGTTCGGAAGACGATTTGTTGCAAAATTTCTTGCTAGCCTGCCTCTCCTAGGATTTTCGAACATCTAAAAAATGGTATAATTGCCCATTTTTAACGGATTTTTATCCTAAAAAGGTCACCTAGAATTGTCGGGAGCCCTTTTTCTCGCTGAAATTTTCGAAAAGGTAAGTTTCGATCCCTACAATTTTCGGATCACTAGACTTTTAACTAGGAAATCCGAGCAGATGAAAAATTTTTAGGAAATAACCGTAAAATACGTTCAACAATGCTATGTTTAAGTGGTTTTGAACTATATTCTCGTTGGGTGCCCCTGACTCTTAAGGTTGCATGTTACTGTCCGAGTCATAAAGGGGCCTTGGGAGTTTCTTTACCTGTGGGTTTTTGTGGAATGGTGATTGGTGGGCGAGGCTTGACTGTCGTCACTGGTGGCTTGACCGTGGAAGGCTTGGTTGTCGTGGGGGCCCGAGTGCTCCTTGGTGGTACTTCGCTCGTTGTTGTTGTCTCTGATGTGACCGTGGAAGGCTTGGTTGTCGTGGGTGCCCGAGTGCTCCTTGGTGGTACTTCACTTGTTGTCGTTGACTCTGATGTGACCGGAGGATGCTTGGTTGTCGTGAGGCCCCGAGTGCTTGTTGATGGTACTCCGTTCGTTGTTGTTGATTCTGATGTTGTTGGTGGCATAGTTGGTCTAACTAAATGATGAAAAAAACGAACAAAACTTAAAGGTAGGGCTTTCGTCTACGGACTCTTCTTGATAAGCCTTCACTAGCCTTTGCGCTTTTTATTAAAGTGATAATATAAGGACAACTGATCAATTTGGTCACTAAATGAGTTTAGGATATCTCAAAAGCGCCAAACCATTTTACTGATTGTGAATAGTGTCACATAACCTGACCAGGCAGAAATGTCTTGGTATGGTAAAGATTTGCGATAGCTCACCCAGCAACACCAGCGTGCAATCTGGCGCTTGTGAAGGTCATCGAATTATAAGTTCTTCGTGGGGCTTGTAATCAATTTTTCTTCTGATCGCCGCAAAGGTTCGCCTTTAGATCTTATCGGTAGCTATCCTAGTGATGCTGAGCTGTAAGTGTCTAAGTATCGTCGTACCTTCACATCCATAAAACTCAGTTCTAAGACATACATCAGTTTGCCATGCAGTTGGGTGAATGCGTACATATCTGGCTACTATTGGCTTAGTCAGATTATTCCTCTTCACTGTTGACATGTCTGTATTGCCATCAAGCATCTTTTGAAGAAAAATGTTTTTTATCGTTATCATCATTGCTACCATTATAATTATTTATTATCATTATTATCCCCATCCTCGGAGACCCAGGGGCAGATAGTGGGGGCGAGGGAAAATCTAAACGGGCGGAAAAAAATTGGCACGAAGAAAAGAAAAGGACGACGAGAAGAGCCCCTGGGGACAATGCCTTACCAGACCAGTTCCAAACGGTCGCCGCCGTTCTGGCTTCTGATTGGTGCCAGAAAACTTTTGTGTTCTTCTGCCCAATCAAAAGACAGAACGGCGGCGACCGTTTGGAACTGGTCTGGTAAGACATTGTCCCCAGGGGCTCTTCTCGTCGTCCTTTTCTTTTCTTCGTGCCATATTTTCCCGCTCGTTTAGACTTTCCCTCGCCCCCACTATATCTCCCCCTGGGTCTCCCAGGATGTATTATCCCTATCATTGTCATTATCATCATCATTATTATATTATATTTATATTATCAACTGGAAATCAAACTCTCCAACGAAATTAAGCAGAGGTCAGCTCTTCTTCAGTTTTGATCCACGTTCCTGGTGTTCCCGTAATTTTTTCTGTGGTTGTGCTTCTTTCCTTTGCTTCCATTAAAGAGGGAGTCTACAGAATATAGCTACCAGAAAAATACGCGATACCTCAGGATGCGTTGTCCAAGTTTTTCCGTCGTTGCTGTAAGATAACATGTATTTCTTGACAAACTTCGGATACTTGCTAACTCGTCCTGATCATAATATCAAAAAAGAAGCGAGTGTTAACACAACCAAACTATTTGTCGTCAGCATCCACTAGAGAGCAGTGTAAAGTTTCTTGGTGTTGCTGACGGGGGCGATCTCTAAATGACGTAATACAAAAGGTTGAAATGACCAAAAAAATTTTTCTGCACTTCAGGCCTCAGTTTGGTCTAAAAATAAAGGGGGAACGGGCCCCCCTGGCCTCTCCCCTGGATTCGCCACTGCTAAGTCACCGTGGATTTACTTCCATACATCGTTTTGCTGGATTTTTAAGAGGTTCTCGGTCAGTGTCACTGCCAGTTAACTGGTAAGACAGTTACTACCTTGAGTTGCGACTCCTGTGATAAGTGTTTTCTTTAAGAAGTCAACCTGTAAATACTGATTGCTCAATGGCCGTCTTCCAACACACCAAGCTCCTATTCCAGTTTTGCTTACAGGAAGGTTGAGGCGCGCCTGATGAGGGCCGTGAAATCTGGAGAAAAAGGGGCTACCGTTAGTTTAGAAAGATCTAAAAATCATGACAAACATTGCCATTCTATGAAACTGAGTCTTACTCTGCCCAAGAGACACTGCCTCGTATGGTGCTCTGAGTACAGTAGCTCATAAAGCGAACATAGATAGGTACCTGGGTAATATGTTTACAACAGGTTTCTTTAAAAAAAAAATGCAGTATAGAAAATCGTGAGTCCCTCGCCCCAAAAAGTGGTTGCATTCGCTTACGAGAGTTGATCGTCTGAAACGAGATATAACATCAAGTTATTAAAACAGCCCATTTGCACTAGTTCACTTGATTTTTTTTAACCCTATCTGTCCCAAAGGTACTCACCTATTCCAGGATTTTGATGCCGTTATTTGAGTGTCCTTTATAGAAAAATCTTCCATGCCAAGAGCCCTGGAAACAGCACAGCCTTGGGATTGGGTCGGCGTGTGTGATGAAGGCGAAGTGTGGGAAGGAGGTGATGTTTTTGGTGGAGATGGAGTATGAGGAGGAGGCGGAGTTTGAGGAGGAGAGGGTGTCTCAGAAGGCGGAGGAGTCTGAGAAGAAGGTGGAGTTTGCGGAGGCGGAGGAGTCTGGGGAGGAGGTGGAGTTTGCGGAGGAGGAGGAGTCTGGGGAGGAGGTGGAGTTTGCGGAGGAGGAGGAGGAGTCTGGGGAGGAGGTGAAGTTTGCGGAGGCGGAGGAGTCTGGGGAGGGGGTGGAGTTTGAGGAGGCGGAGGAGTCTGGGGAGGAGGTGGTGTCTGAGGAGGCGGAGGAGTCTGGGGAGGAGCTGTAGCTGGACCTTTTCCAATATACGTCCGTATCCAGAATTCGAATTCACTAACTCGTGCAAATACAGTGTATTGGTTGCGACCGGCGCTGCACGTTCGAGTCCCCCAACTAACGACACCATGTAGCTCATATTTTCCATTTTTTCCACAAACGAAAGGTCCTCCTGAATCACCGAAACAACCACTTACTGTACTAGAGCCACCAAAACCACCGCATATCTGAAACACAAACAAAAACCGATGGAACTTTGTGTATCTTTCTTTAACTTCATAAGCTCGATAACTGCATGGCGTTAGTCTGCCGAATAATCATTTCACCTTTAACATAACAGCAACAATTTACTACAATAGTTTGGCTGACACACGTACCATTTTACTTGTCACAGTTCCCCAGTACCTCATATGATTCTTACAAGTGCCCTGTTGTGCCACTGGCAGGCTGGCTTCTTGAAGAACGGATGCTCCAGGTCGATTGTAGCCTGTCCTTCCCCACCCTTAAGAAAAAAGTCAACATTGGGAATGCTTGAGGGATTGACAGTGGGTACTGGCTTGGGGGATAAATTCTCTACCCCAGAGCTATTCTCTATTGCGCAATAGAGGAGAGCTCTGGAGTGGAGAAAGTGGAGGGCGATACTCCTGAAGCCCATTTCAAACCAAAATATGTAAATTTCATTATTTCATATCAGGCCTCAACAGCTCTTCCAAAGACACTAACAATCAAACAACATACTCAATTACAGACCCTGCTTTCAGGAAGTACAAAACCTTAGCCATTTCAGACCCAAATGGATAAAACCTATACCAAATTTCGGACCAAATGGGCTTAAAAACCATACCCTAGGCGGCGAACTCACGTATATAGCTTACATTATAAGGGAGTCGCCACTGGGATTATAATAAGACTAGGGGAGTTGCTTACCAGTTATTGAGCAATATGTTCCTGCTGGAACACTTCGACCCTGCTTTGGGAGACAAACAAGTGACACTTCTTTGTTCAAAGTTGCTGGACGATCCAACTCCAAAAGAGCTTTAGAAAAGAACAAAGATAATGGTTTAAGTGAAATTTCAGAGGCAGCCTACTCTGCAACTATGGAAGCAATAATACGGAATGACTTGGGACTAGAGATCGAGAGAGAAAGCGGACGAAATATCCATGTCTAAAATTTCCCAAAACAATTGCAACACCTTTCGCTCCAAGCTCTAAACCCAATCTTGCCCACATCTTTCGCCTAACTTTGTGTTTGTCATTCATGTTTGCAAAAGCCTGGAATAATTAGCTCAGTTACGTTCACACTGTATCTTATAGCTTTTGCGCCAGCATGATAACCATACCGGGTGGGGCTTCTGTTCACGAACAAGAATGATGATTTCGGCGAGATTTCTCACGAGCGGATCCAGGACTTTTTTTAGGAGGGGTTGCACTCTTCTCTTGCTCTACTTCAACACCAATAAACCACATATTTTTTTTTGCAGAATACCAGTTGTATTAGAAAACCGCAGGACATCTCGGGGGCGGGGGTGCATCCCCTGCACCCTCCCCCTAGATCCGCCCCTGTTTCTGTAACGGAATGAAGCCGCGCCGCGCCGATCTCTACAGTGGAGCGTCACTTATCGGACAGGTGTTCATGTTATACCAGATAGCAAGCTTTTCGCGTCTGCGCGAAAACTGCTATCTGGTATAGTATGAAAATAGCTTATAGGGCAGGGTGGGGAGGGACCATTGGCAAAACATTGGCAGAAAATTGTCTCAAATGGTATTCTCGTTAAATTAGGGAATAATTTCTCTTGCTTTTTCTCCCAGCCTCTGATTACACATACAAGTACGGTGAAAAGCAGGCTTAGGCTAGCGGCTCTTTAGCCGAGTACTAAACAGATTCATTAAAAGAGCATATGAAATAAATGGCTTCGGCGACACTTACCGATGTCATTATTGATCGTAGCCCGTTGATAATATGGATGCACAATCACCCTTTTTATTGAGAAAAACTGTTCGGTGCCTTCGTTCCTTCGAACATCGTGCTCACCTTAAGGTAAAAATGAGCCATTCAAGAGAACGCCAACACGATTCACAACATATTTTTCAATTTTCAAGAGGTGGTATAAAGTATTTTCCTTCAAGAAGAAATGATTTGAGTCATCCATGAAATACAAATTAAAGCAGGTTCTGTAAGATACTCCTACTGACAACAAAACATAAAATGATTATTATTTTGAGCTACACAAGCGGCTCAAACATGAATGAATAACTGAATAAATATAAATAGATAAGGAGATAATAATTAGTTGTCAACGACTTAAGAATTTCATTGCTCGCAGAAAAAAAAATGCATCTCTTGAAAAGAAATGCGCTTTACCTTTTTCATAGGAACCAAAGATATGTGTCGCGGTGTTTTACTTAGCAAACTATTCCCGAATTCTTAAAGCATGTTTGACAGCGAGGTTTTCTTATTCCGCGGTTTTAAATGACTACAAGGGCGACGGTCCAAAGTTCTCTCAACACCCAAAGAACTAACGTACCTAGGGTAATGCGGTAGCCTGGATTATAAGAACTTCCTCCAACACAGTGTGCAGCCGTGAGTACCCAGCCAGGCGCTACGAGAGAGCCCCCACACTTGTGAGCCCCACGAAGTGTCATACGTGCCTGCCATGGCCAACTGTTCCTGACAGCAGTCTTACCATTGACAACTCGACCTGAGTCTCCATAATTCCTTATTCCACAATTACCACCTGTGAAAGTAACGCAGCCAGCATGAGATCATGAAATGGTTATCTTAATGCATCAGCACTCGTGTGGTGAGAAAAGGAAGTCTTTTATGCTATCATATTTCCACCGCAAGAAAATATATTAGCCATTTTTTTCGAGAAACTGGCCCGGAACTTTACATTTTCATGGAAACCGCTATTGTAAGAGACACGTCCCTCGTGGTGGGACGGCAAGCGATTTGAGAGGTGGCTGTATTTAAAGGATAGAAGATATACTTGCAATAAAAACAAACTTGACTGTTTTCCAGGTAAATGATAAATGTGGTCTTTACATTGTGCTCGGTTTAAAAAAAAAACGCAACCCCTAGTTTTTTCAAATTATCTATTTTCTATTTCACTTTGAACAGCACAGATTTTGTTTATCGCTCAAAAGTTCCCTTCACAGTTCAAATTAAAATTTATCTAAAAAACTTTCACTTTTCATGGATATCCCATATTGTTTTGATTACTAGCGGAAATCTAAGATGCTCATATGTGACGCAAGCACTGATTTGTTAGTTACTAGTCAACATTCTCAGATATTCAATAAATGAACATTATACTCAGACTCATATTTGAGTTAACAGATAGTATGCACGTATTTTCTTACAATATATACCTAAAAAACTTCAAAGAATTCCTCTTACTTGGTTGAACTGGTTTTTTCGTTGTGGGAGTTGGCCTTTTCGTTGGTGGAGTAGGTCTCAAGGTCGGTGGCCTGGGTCGTACAGTTGGAGGTCTTGGCCTTTTCGTTGGAGGAGTAGGTCTCAATGTTGGTGGCCTGGGTCGTACAGTTGGAGGTCTTGGCCTTACCGTTGGCCTGGGGCATAATCCACAGCTTTTCTTACAGTAGGTTCTTACATGTTGATTAGTCCTGCAATACCATCGATTACTTCTAACCCAGCTGATACATCGATAGTCCTGATCCGTACAGGTGTTGACGCCTACAAGGAAAGAAGCATGAAAAATGGAAAGACAGCAAGGATTGCAAGTATGCAAGGCACGCATAGATGATACAGAGGGAGTGGAAGTGGAGAAAGTGATAATTAAACTTTGGAACACAGCACGTCTTACTAGACCGTCCGAAAGTGGTCTTTCCTCATTACGTAAATTACCGCGCAAAGGACGGCGAGAAAGACAAGGAAACTCAGGGTGGATTTCCACCGTCGCGTAATTTTTACGTGAGTGCGCGCGTAAAACTTACATGAGTAAATGAATAAGGCTGAGGCAATGTATGAATATTCGCGCGCAAACTTTAAGTCTAAGTTGAGACTCGCTCAGCTTTTACGTTTACGTTCATACGTTGCCTTTATTTTATTTAATTGTGGCGGTAAATTTGACGTGATAGTGGAAATCCACCCTAAAGGAATTGTCCTCTTCCTGACATTTTTTCTTCCGATGGTGTCTTGTCTCTTGCTAGTTTCAGTCTTGCGCGCACCTTCTTCGCGCTCCTCACTGAAGGTGCTTTGTGCGATCTCGCTGCCCTTGAAGGCAATTTAGAACACATTTTAACAAGGCTGGCAAGTAAATGTGCAACGGAATAGCCGAGAGGTTGCGCAAAGTGCTCGCCAATAGTCGATCGAGATAAGCGGATATCTCTACTGCTGCAAGCCAATTGGTCGAATGTTAAGGACCATTGCCATTTCGAGTTATAGTTACCACAAAGTCTACAGCTCCTTTTGCAGTTTAATCTCATATATCTTGGATTACGCTGGCACTCTCCTATTCTAGCCCAGGAAGAACACCTGTAGTCATTATCTCTGCAACCTATCAACAGGAAAGAAAGAACATGTAAACATAACAATGCAATCAGTTAAATTCAACGAGGCATCGTTTTGCCATGAATAAAGCTACCTGAAAAGCACTGAGTGGCATTTTCTATTTTTTATGATGGTGTGGCTTTGCTTTGGTCTGTGGATGATTTCTAGAAGCGCATGCATTTAGATGAACGAAAATTTTTGCAGTATCGTCAACTGAATTGCGTGTAGAGTGAAACCATTTTAAAAAGCTACTGGAAAATCGTTTTCTTTTGATGGTGTGAAAATACCGGGCGATAGATTAAATCTGGAAGCAAATCAGCCGAAGGTTTCTTTTATAAATGCTTTTTAAGTTTCAGTATTCAATAAATAAAATAAACCTGATTATTTATTGCAAACTTGGTCCGGGGGAAAACTTCGGATAAAATACGAATCCAGCTTCTACAACTCTTTCTTTTATTAGATTAGCCTGTACCACAGACCGGAAATTAACTTCCGTTGACTAACAGAAGTTTGATTACGTCTACGACGCACGCTACTCAGGACTAGAGCACACGAAAACAAAAAAATATCCTGATACGTGTGGACGAGGCCTTTATCTCGAGTTGCCTCATAGTAACCGTGTTTACAAATCAAACAACTTATAAACTTACGGGTCTGCCTGCGTTTCCTGCTGGGCTCGGAAGAGCTACATCCGTACATCTTATTGGTCTGTTGAGCGTCTAGATCGCTTAAAGTCTTGTAAGGACTTTTTCCATTCAAAGGTTGCAGTGTCCGTAAAGTCGGTTGACCATTTTTGGAGAAAGCGTTGAACGGATAGTGCATGATAGAGCCGTAGTCGTAAGGCAAACCAAGCGAATCGATTTTATCCCTTCCATACTTTTGGAATGCACTCTCGAAACCTTGAACGCAAACAAAACCATTTGTTAAATCACATTTCAATGAGATCAATTGGCAGCAAAAAGAAACAAAAAATTTTAGGGGGTTCTCATCTGAATGCTATCTGCCGCTATATGAGAAATGTGCCCAGAAATTTAGTTGCACGAATAGTATCAAGATAACCGAACACACGATCTTCTGCGTTGCCCACGCTTACGGCATAACAGAGTCAAAAACTCGCCAAGGTGAAGTAATAAATGAACTATAAGCTCTAATTTGTGAACATCCAGTCACGAATTTGACTAACTCTAACCATTATTCACTTCTATTGCAAACTGTACTGTAATATAGGACTAACCCTCCCTATCACACAAAACGCCTCAATTCCTTTACACTCAATAACGAACAAACTGGAACTGGGAAAAATATTGGCTTAAAATTGACAGCGACCGGGTCAGAAAAAAAATGATGGACCCATTTTCTCCTCCCGGGTCAAACATCTAAGGCCATTTTCATGTGGTACTTACAAATGGAAACATGGGCAGGGTGTATAGTATAGAATACTGATTTGTAAATGTAACTGCCATTGAATTTTCCTCAAACTAATGTGCTTATTTTTTATGACTGACTACAATTATGCCGCAAATGTGGCCGACACTGAACAACAACATTTTCAGTTTTTAATCACTTGGAGCCTTTTCATGAAACGTTAAAGCAGTCGAGGAAATTAACAGCGCGCTTGGTGATAATTTTAACTTTGAACAAGCAAAGTACTTAAATTCGCTTTCGCTGACCGCGGTGAGCCGCATACCTTCATTCCTGTGAGCTCAGGAACTGTTTTTAACTGAACTTAGGGATAAAAGTAAATAAATTACCTGGAAGTATGTTCTGCTTTAACACTTGAACGTAATTATCTCTATCTGACCGACTTTGCTCATGCCAGAAGCCAACAGCATGCCCGATCTCATGTACCATCACGTGACGGTACTCACAGCCAAAACCAACAGAAAGGGACGTTTTCCCGCCGATACGGCCAACATTACACCAGCAGCTAAGAAAATATCATTTTTATAACATAAACAATGGGCGTATATTAATTTTCATCATCATCATCATCATCATCACAATCATCATCATCGTTTGGGCGCGGCGCAAAACTTTTCCTAACTGGTTCAACATCTTGATATTAACTGCACTGCTTCAGTAAGCACTCCAGCAAATTTTAACAGGAGACTTATTAAGAACTGATCAATGGCCTTTTCAGGCCTCGAAGGAAATAAATGCAATCGGTACTAAAAGCAGAAAAACATGTACCAGCAGTTCATAATTTAATATTTTTTATTTACGATCAATAGGCCATTTTCACGATGACGATGACGATGTTTGACTGCAACTACCAGAATTCATTTCGTCTTGTTTTCTTAATAAAATTCAGTTGTCAATTCCGCTGAGGTTTAAAAAAACAATAGCCCTAATTTGCACAAAGAAAACAACAAACTGAAGGATTCTGGTAGTTGTAGTAAAATGACGTCACCTTGAACATTTTGAAGTTGCGCGAGAGACTGGGTCGGTGCTGTATCGAATTACACTGTGGGATTGTTTTAGGGACGCTATTTCGTCTCTTATTGGCTATTGCAACGTTTCGTTGGGAGCTGGGTAAAAATTCATCCTCAAAAATAATCCCATGGTGAAATTCGATGCAATACCGACCCAGTTGATCTAGTCTGGATGAAGAGCAGTTTCACATTGGCCAGTTGAACGAACGGGGCTGAATATTTTTTTACGTGTAGCAAGGCGTTACCTATCCTTGAAGTAAGTAATCATGAAAACTATTGTCGATACTTTCGACTGATTTGGTTATTTACCAGAGGAGTCAAAATTTAAAACTAAGCTAGAAAACAAAAACTAAAAGCTGTAGTCTTTATTGGCTTAGCACAGCGCTAGGAATGAGGGGAACTTAACGTTGTCGCTCGCACTCAACTGTCAACACTGTACTGAAGTCGAAATCAACCAGTCAAACTCACCCTTTCTGTCGAAAGAACCACAAGTAATCTCTCTCAGATGTTCTTTTCACGAATCTAATACACGTTTTGCTTTCCCATTCCCTCATTGCTGAATTGATGGCGTTCAAAGCCTCGGGCATGTTCTCTGTATGAATAGAGATCGAGAAAAAGGTTAAAATCTCCCTGGGCGACCACGCAAAGAACGGTAAAGCTCACGTTGCTTACGTGGACTATGGTACTTTTAATTTATTTCCCAGGTCACATGCTTCATATAGCGGAAGGGCTTTCACGACCAACTCATTATCTTTTCTCTCTTTCGCATAGAGTACCGGCACCGTTATCAACTATCAAGAAGTACGCCACAATTTGTTTCCCATTTAAAGTATCAAGCGAGAGTACAGCTTAGGTATTGGCATTGAGTTTAATCCACAGAAATGCAAAAGATAGCATATTAAACAGCATATTAAAAAGTGCTGTTGAACAGCTTTGATTTGGATGCCACCCCATAAAGATTTAAAATTAGAACTACTAATGACGAAAAAAGTAGTCACATGGAAGATATTTTCAATATTTTTACAACGACTGGTGCAATACCTGGAAAGGGGTATTTACTTACTCAAACTGCAGTCGATCTCGTATGGTATGATCCCATTAGGCCACCGAAGACGATTATCACTTCCTGCCGCTCTGCTATTGTTACCCCTGGCGTCTCCATAAGATTTGATATATTCTTGTTGTTCTTTAGTTAACTCGATATCTCCTTCAAACACGTTATCTGGGAGGGGAGGACTGGAGAAGTCTGTAAGGTAAAAGACTGTCTCAAAACTATCATAATAAGCTTGCATTTCGGCAAATTAACTAACTTTCGATGCCAAAGCTGCCAATTTCAGTAAACGATCACACTTTTTATCCACAGAGTTGTGTCGTAAACTGAGATCTATTCCAACAAGTAACAGAAAGTACCGTTAGCAGAAAAAAAAAATGCAAAAAATATTCACTGGCAGTTAACACAATAAGAGCCTTCTCAGTAGTAGGTCAAAAATCTTGCTTCGCCTCGTGTTTTAAACTTCACTGAACGTCACAGTCCTGCTTGTTATAAAACATTGTTAAGTTGTTGTTGTTGTTGTTTTTTGTATATAACTAGTAAGTGGACGGAAGGGAATTGGTATAGGGAACTTTCGATCTGTCAGTGCGGCTGACTGACCAAACTGACCAAAAGCCAAGCTTTTCGCGCACGCGCACAGCTACAGCAGTTATACTGACTTGGTTTGTTTCTTCGTTACCAACAACAAAGAGGATTTAATTATGACATACTCTTTTGCGCGCGCTGGAAAACAAACAAGACTGAGAACAGCAAACAGGATTTTAACTGAACTGTCGGAGAGTTATTTTCTGCGTTGTTGGCCCCAATTAAAACGTTTTTTAATTCAAGGTGATCATGGAGCAAAGCGTAAACGAACTTGAAACTTTGTTAGGGAGTCTTAAGAAAAATATTACAGAACTACTTCCTTCTTTTGAGGAGACTGTGGAGCAACAAGCTGAAAAGTTGGCAAGTAAACAGAAGAAAGAACTACGAAGGCAATTTAAGATTGAACAAGAAAAAGCCAAAAGTGAATGCAGGAGGATAAGGCATGACACAGAAGAGCGTGTGAAAGAAATCGGTAGGATAATGAAGAAATTCGCCCTAGAGTATAGGCGTGACCACAGCTCTCGGCTAAAAGCCATTGCTTACAGGCAGATAACGGAAAACAAAGACGGGATTGATCATGCTATAACAGTTGCTACAAGTCAAGAAGGTGAAGCAGGCTCTTTAGGGGAATTCCAAAGAACTGGCATGCCCGAAAACCCGCCGAGCATCCCAGATATTCCACGGTGTGCGACGTGTGCGAAAGAAAGTTTGTGTTTGTATTTTTGCGAAGCATGTCGAATTACACGATACTGCGACGAAAAATGCCAGGAAAAGGACTGGATTAATCACAAGAACAGTTGCGCCGGACTAGGACATATCTAGATTATTTTTTGGTGCGGGAATATTTGATGAAGAATTAAGTAGCCGGGAACGTTTTCTTTTTATTATGCACCGGAACATTTCGGCTCCAACAAAAACTCGATTATGTATTTTTCTCAATCGCAGTTTAGATAGTATTTCTAGGTTTATGATTTTGATTTAACAAATACCATAAAGTTCCCGGCTTTGATCTCGTAAAGTTTTCATGTAAAATATAATTGTCATAAAAAGCTACAAGTTGTTCTTTTTCCTTACTCTACATTTCGATCAAAACAGGCTAAGTTCTTTGCTTTCCATTATTTTATAGAGTTTTCTGTTTCCACCCTCAAATAGTTTAGTTTGTGCTGCTGGCCTTAAAGAGACCCTTGCACAAAGAATTGCTTGTCGAGCGTACTTAATGCTTCCTACTAGAAACTTTTACTACATGGAAAACTGGCAAGCAACAGATAGTCATGATCTTCATGTTTAGCGTCAAAACTTGAAAATTGATGATGTGACAAAGAAAGTGCTTTGCAAAAACTCGATTGTGCGCTCTATTTATCTATTTTTCGTTTAAAAGGTCAGAGATGAAGTCGAATAATTCCATAAAAACGAGAAACAATGGACGCATACTGGTCGCAGCAAAAAACACTTCGTCCGTAAATCGACGAAGGTTGTACGAAAACCTCGACCATACAAAATACATTAAAAAAAATAAAACATACAAAGCCGGCGCATTTTTTAAGCAGACATGTGCCAGGGAACGGTTATTAAAATATAACCTGTTCAAATCTAAAATGTAACTCCCACGTGGTCTAGTGGTTAGGATTCGGCGCTCTCACCGCCGCGGCCCGGGTTCGATTCCCGGCGTGGGAATTCTTTTCATCAGTTTTGCTCTCAACAGGGTTTAGATAACAATAAAAAGAACCTTCGAGGTCAAAGGCGGTCATATCATTTTGGAACTATTTTCGACTTCGGCGCGGAGCATTAATTTTGGTCAAAATGGGTAGGTACTATATTTCCTTCCGGGCAAAATTTCTTCTACCGTACTTGGATACTATTACGCTAGCTCTCCTGGTCGTTTTCGTCGGAAAATATCCACTCTACTACCCAAAAAAGGGAATATTAACCGCTCCAATATTCTACAGTCTCTTACTTTTCCTCTAGTCTGGCAGTTACATCTGTATGGGGAGGCACCGCCCAAATGGGGTACGTTTTAGAGGCTTTATATAGGTTAAAAAAGTTGGGATTTCTTGAGTTGAAGTATATGAAAGGTTAGGGAAATTTGTCATTTAAGAGTTTTAAAAGGCCTTGTTAACTAAAATATTCAGAACAGACGCATCGCATGGCTGTAAAAAGGCGACAAGACTTACTGATTTAGCAACCTATTAATATTACTGGAGGTAATCATTGATTACGGATCCGCGTTCGTCACCTACGGAAAAATTACGGAAAAGAAATCGAGTCGAAAGGAGTCCAGTTTCCTGGCCGAAGTGCCCCCGATAAAACTAATAGGAGCGGCTAATTTGGCTAATTTGCAATCGCCCGTGATAGCTGGAAAATTTCTGCCTTAGTGCCACAGGAACACCAGATTAGGATGCGTTCTGACGAACGCGAAAAAACGGGCCAGTTGTATCAGGCTATGTTTAGACTATGTACCGTATACAGCTTCTGTTCACACATATGAATGGTGATTTCAGCGCGATTTCTGTGAGGAAGCGATGCTGCACCGCGTCAATCTCCACAGTGGAGAGTCACATATCAGATAGGTGTATACTACACTGCATAGCTTTTTGTGTCGGCACGAAAACTGCTATCTGGTATATAGTGTGAACATAACCTCCGCGCGTCAAAAGGTATGCAGTGTTCTTACTACGTCCATAAAAGGGGTATCACTTTTCGGTCGCACGTTGGAAGGTATATTTCAGTTTTTTTATATGAAGGGGTAAAGGGTTAGACCTTGGCTTGCGCTGGGGCTCCCGTATAAAGCTTTATTGAGTGGCTCCAACTCCCTGGAACAAACTGCCCTCTCGGCTGAGGAGGAGGTTACTGCCAGCATTCTATCTCCACTGGGAATAGAAAGGAGAAGTATGACGTAACGTTACCATGGTAGCAAAATTTCTGGATAACAACATAAGGGAGTTTCAGCAACGACGACGGCGACGGCAACGAGAACAGTTAAAAAGCAACAAGTTTATTTTAGCAAAACAACAACTTTGCACGTGCATCACGCTTTTTTGCACATTTCTTTGCCGTCGTTGCACGACTGCGACACGAAACTACCTAATTTCATACGCTTGCTTTATGGAGTAGGTAAACACATGCCAACACAAACATTTTCTTTTTCTTTTTCTAAACTTAAATACGCTCGTTTCGGATTCAACCCCAGAAAATTTCGCCAGCATTTCACAAATTAAATGAAACTGAATAAGATCGATTAAGTTTTAAAAAGTGCGAATTCACTTTTTAAGTGAGTTTTCGGTTTGTTGTCATCCAGAAATTTTGATACCATGGGAACGTAACGTAACGACTTCTCCTCTCTATTGATAAAAACTTACAATCACGCTCTATTTCCAAGTTTGCTTGGAGAATCTGATCAAAAGCTGCCTTGGCATCCGGATGAGGAATGCTGGGTAAAGCTGACGTAATCCTCAAAAGAATGAGGACGAGGTATTGAAGCAGGACTGAAGTGCACGGCTGGACAGGCATTTCCTGAAAATACGACGTAAACGAATTCAGATTTAAGGGGTTTAAATATAATTGACAAGGGTTGAAAACTAGCTCATTTCATTTCCTCTTGTTGATTTTGTCATTACGAAATAGGGCTGCATTAGTCCACAGTTGGACAGGTATTTCCTAGAATTAAAAATTGGAAACGCATATTGTTCAGATTTAAAGGGTTAATCTAGCCTGAGGGGACCGGAGGGAGCGTGTGTACACATGCTAGGTGGTTAACATAAACCGATAAAGGGTTTAAAACGGGCCCAATTTATTTCCTACTTTTTATAACAGATCCAGGCTGAGGTAGTATATGTTTTGCTGCGTCAGTGACATTCTCAACACTTGTGAGCGCACGATTGTTGCGATTTGATCTGAGTCACGTTTGTAAATATCCGGCATTTGGGGCCAGTTGCGAAATTTTAGAGGGGCTGTATTAGTCCACAGTTGGACAGGTATTTCCTGGAATTATTTTGGAAACGCATATTGTTTAGATTTAAGGGATTAATATCGCCTGAAGGGACCAGAAGGGGCATCTGTACACAGGCTAGGTGGTTAACATAAACCGATAAAGGGTAATGAAGAAGGGCCCAATTTATTTCATACAGTTTACAACAGATCCAGGTTGAGGTGGTATATATTTTGCTAAGTCAGTGATATTGTCAACACTTGTGAGCGCACGATTGTTGCGATCTGATCTGAGTCAGGTTTGCCTATCCGCCATTCGGGGCTTGCGAAATTTTAGACTTTAAGCAGTCCCTCATTGACGTTTGTCTCACTAGCTCGCACGAAACATGTTCGACCTGGTGAAATGCAAACCTGTGGGACTCCTACAATTTTATGCTCTCTTCACAAATGTCGTCTGAGCAGTGTAATGGCACGTCACTAGCCGGTTTAACTCTCTGATTAGCATGATCCATGATCCCGGGCATGATCGATCCTTCCGCTGAGATTGTTGCGGCGAACAAAAGCTAGCCTTTATATTTTCCTCATTCGAAACTCCGAAAAACTCTCAACTCTATCAGACCGCGCACAATCAAGTTCAAACTTCTACCAAACAGAGGAACAAAAATAGGACGATAAAATTTTTATCAACGAACATTTAGTTCCCCTTAGCTTGCGATATTTCTCCGGCTATCATTTCGATATTCTATTTCCCTTAGTTCTCTTCCTTTATGTTCTTTGCTGGGTATATGCTTGGTGGTACTGCAAAATTTTCCAAGGACCTTTACAGGGGTTCGATCAGCCTGTTCAATGACATGAAATGAAGACGCGAACTAAAGATCAAAGAATCTATAGTTTATCACCGTTTATAAGAGGTATTGTGGTGAAGAGATACTAACTCCAGTCCTGCTACTGTTTGAACGGTACTATCAAGTTTAAAAATGTCTAGCAACTAGAAATGGCCGCAACAAATTGGTTGATATTTTCAATCAAAGGAAAAATAACATGAATACGTACCTATTTCCTGGCAAAACCTTCCAGTGGCGAGCCTCTGAATGATCTGATATACGCAGCTATTCGGTAAGCCTTTTTTCAGGTCTAAGAGCTTACAATTACACTTGCACAAATGCTTAAAACGTATGCGAGCGAGAACAGAAACGAGATAAAGTACAGTCGTCTGATCCGAAGGATTTGAATGATGAACGTGGTATACTGTATGAACGTCGTCAGTGAAATATGATGATTCCAAGAATAATGCATTGGCCTCCTGGTGCGAAGAGATCCGGCGGAGGACAGGATGGACGGTGCGTTCAGATTGTATGGACGGACGGTGTAAAGAGATGTGAACAGGGAATAAAAACTTCGCGCTGCACTCCCCTAAAAGTGAAAACCTGGAATGGGAACGTAGCCTGCGAGCAAGCTCTTCATTTGAGGGAGTCGCGAGAATTTACGCGACTGAGCCGCACGTAGACTTGCTACGAGTCGACCTCTTGGCGAGCGGAGCCACCCTTTTTTGGCCGCGAAGCGGCCGACCACGAGCGACGAAGTCGCGCGCGGTCGTCCCGCGCTATATGAAATCCGACGAAGGACTTTTTGAAAGTCTAAGCCGCACGTGAAAAGAGGCGTGAGTGCCGCGGGGCGCCGGTCGCTCACGTGTTCTCTCGTGGCAGGTGTTTAATAATAACAACAACAATAATAATAATAATAATAACAACAACATGAAATAACAGGAAAAAATAACATTGATGGAGGAGAGCCGTCTCTTCCTGGTTTTATTAAATACCTGGTACAGTTGATGCCATCTTTGAGGAAACTCAACTCTAGAGCACAAAACCAGTACAATTTATAACCGTTATCTCTGATTTATTTTCAATATACAATGTAATATATTGGTCTCTCTAAATTAGTAGTTCATGTTTAAAATAGCTAAAAACAGAGGTTGTTTTAAAGGCAAAATAAAACTTAAAATTATCCTTCAAAACACTGGAAATCGCCATTCTGAGGAATTAATTTTTTAAAATTTGTTTATCCAAACAAAGTAAATTCGCCAGCAATTCGCCAGTTTCCTCCGTTTTCAATTTTTGCCTCACGAGACGATAATTAAACGTCAAGGCACAAGACTTACTTTTGGCGAAAATTTCCTTTTGTTCTACCAGTCATTCATATGCTCAGAACACACCATTGAGCCAGGCCTTAAACCCCTTGAGAGGGAAATGGGGAGCCGCTAGTCTGCTACACAGCAGTTTTCAGTGTTGTCACGCAACGCTCCTCCTTACTAGTGGGGAGGAGCATTGCGTGACGACGCTACCAACGGCCATGTTTTAACGGCTGTGTAGCAGTTTAGGAGCCTGCATGCGCATGAGTAGAGACCCTAGGCAAAAAGTTTCATTCCACCGTCAAGCTCTCAACTCATGCAAAAACTGAAAACTACAAGAACAAACAATAATAAAAATCAGATCACTTTAAGCTTTACTTTCTACGTTTGAACAATGAAAGAAAAAGGAAAAAAAAGCAAACACAGAAAAGCTACCGCGAAACCCAAGCTAATGCTAACTCAACTGAGATGTTCAAAGTTCCAGAAAAGTTGTTTGCCGTGTAAAGCATTGTTTATTAGTTTATTTTGGAAATTTAAAATAATACCATATATATAATTTATGATTTTGCTCACTCAACAATGAGTTTTTTTTAAAGGAAATGCAAACTGATCCTTAGGCTATAGAGCATCCTCTTACAGTAAACTTTCACCAAGAACATTTTATCGACCCGACTAACCGCCCCTGGGTCTCCAAGGATGGCTACAGAGGCGAAAAACCAAATAAAAATGATTTTTTTTTTGCGTGCTAGATATTTTGGTTTGGATTACAAAGCACAAAACTAAATAATAAATAATAAATAGTTTATTTGTATATTGTCTTATTCATTCTCTCTTCACCATCAGGAGCCCTTTGTTATTGTTTGCCTAGTTTGTGGTTTTTATTTACCCAGATCGTTCTTCAATTGAACCGGCCACTGAAGTAATAAACTAGATAAAATCTCACACGGTGGACAGTGAAAAGAGGTGGGGGCTCCTTCCTAGTGTTATTGAATTTTCACGACACATACTAGTTAGTATCGAAAGTTGCTTGCGTTGCAAAAGGCTTAAGGTGATGTTTACACAGGTCGGCAAGCAGCAGCAAAAAGATACATAAGCACATTCCAAACTCTCACTTCAGTACCTGGTATACATGTCCAATTTTCAGCATTTAGTCAAGCCTCAGCAGACGTTTTTAGCTATACGCCACGGAAGTTTTCATCCGGAAAGAAATTAGTTTGATTGTTCTTTTTTCGCGGCAAAGGTCTGGAGATCCGTAGAAAATTTGGTTTTTGTTGTTTGTCATTTGTTGTCACAAAGAGGTTTGAAATGGGTTTCTCCCCAGGATGAGTGATGTCATTGCACTAGTCGTGACGTCATCTTTTTATGTTCTGCATCTCAGCAGCTGCAATCCCGCATTTCGTTCAACCATGCGAGAAGTCCAATAGAACCCTCGAGCTCTCCTTGAGCGTAAGCTGATTTGTTTTACTTTGGACTGTCATTTGCTTTACCGACAACCAAATTTATTGAACGAATATTGGTACGATCTTGATTTACTCGCGATTTGTTAATCATTCTTCGCTTACTTTAATTCGATTCGAAGTGCAAAAGTGCTTGTGAAAACTGTACGACTCACTGACAGTGACGACTGTAGATTTTTGCAAGAATCGTAGATCATTCGATTTTTAATTAACTGTGTACTTTCTCTCGATTTTCTACCTTTCCAGTTATAGCTGTTCGATCATGATTTCAGGAGCCATTTTACCCTTGTTGGTGTCAAGCACTGTTTTATTTTCTTTGACAGCTGTTACAGGAGAAGTAAACAAGTAAGATTATAACCGTATGCAGATTTTCAAATGACAGATAAGTTTTGATTTACATGATCATGTTTAAACTAAAATTTTGCAAGTTATTTAGAGCGATAAAACAGATTTATCCATCCCGCAGCATGAACCGAATCATGTCCGAAACGTATTTGTCCTTGTTGAGGTTTCCTGGTGGCAGGGCTGTCAGTAAGATATAAATGGCTGCTGGGGAATGGAAAAATTCTTTTGGTTTTGTTTTCCTTTTGATTTTAGTGAGAGTCGGTAGTGTTCATGCTATAGTACATGTAGCTGGGTGAATTAGCCAGCCCCCCTGGTAGCCCTTGGCTGAGAGACAGTGACCTGGGATCTGGGATTCCCCTTATTTTAAGCTCGAGAGTCAGAATTTTGAAGCAAAATCAAGGGGAGGTTTGGGATTGAGGGTATGCGCGGGAGGTGGGATGCCAAAAATAGCCATTGGGATTACGGGATTGAGCAAAATATTGGGTCACGGTTACAGTATTGAAGAACCCTTTGAGGACCCTCATACTCCGACAGGCAAAAATAAAAATAGCAACGGGTCGGTGCATTCCATTGGTATTCCTGTTAGGCCAAAACCATATCCAAGAAAAGTTCTTAATCTTTCTTTTTAGGCTTTAAGATGAATTGTGTAAATAACACAGATACAAATTTTTGGCACCGAATGACAACCACAGGTTACACTCTTTGTTAACTCCTCCCCACCCTGGACAATGTCCCCATACCCTCTAGCAGCTTGTGCCCAGGATCCCAGGTTTATGGGCACTGCCATTTATGGGCTATATAGGTATGTGCCACTGTGAAGGGTATGGTTTTCAAGAAGTTTACTCTAGGATGTGGTATATAAATCAGGGCGTTTTGGTCTAGAATAGGGTGTCACTTTTCAGGAAACTGATCAGTTGGTTGAAGGTTTTTTCTAGACTAGGGATTGTGGTACAAGGTCTTGTTTTGGCTAGGCTACTGTGCTAGTGACCTCAGTAGTTTCTGGAAAACAGCTACTCTATGATAGGGGGGATTTGGGGAGTTTACTCTAGTATAGGGTAGCAAAATCCAGCTGAACTAGGTCTGGTATAGGTTAAGGGTTCCAGGGTTTCAGCGGCACATCCCCACCCAGGAATTCCTGAAGTACCCCCCCACGTCTGCTTGAGCCTTTGGTGCTCGTATTATTTGTCTATGGTAAAAAAATATCCCCTTTTTAATAGTCAAAAGGTTGGATGGGCTCAGCTATAGAAATAAAACAAGACTGGCAATTCTCTAAGTTAACCCCTGACAGGCAGGGTTACTGAGCTGGTTGGGTGTCACTGTAAACAATTTAATGTTATGCATTCTTTTTCAACAGCACATACTTCATAACAGCCCCGAGTGTGTTCCGTCCTGGGCAGCTCTTCACACTTCAAGTATCACTGAGTAGCATTGTCACTACACCAGTCAACATAACATGTGGAATTGTGGATACAACCAAACAGAATGTTTTGATTGCAAGTGAAAGGGGTTTTTTCAGTGCTGGTGAGAGTGCATTGAAGCTTCTGCAACTTTCTCTGCTATAGCTCAACATCAAATTTCTTGGTCCAAATATCAACACACATCTATTGAGCATTTTATACAACTCATGATAAAAATGTGCCTTGAAACCTGGTAATGAAGGATAGCTAGGAGAGTTGACATTACATGTACTTTTTATTATTTTTATACATTTATGTACACTGGATCAAAAGTCACATACTTTTAGGGTTGCAGTTGCTTTTGACCAATTTTTGATTATTCAAAATACGTTACTTTATTTTCTTATTCCTGCAGGAACTGCTCAAAAGTTGACTCTCAAGGTACCTTTGTTGGTTGTTTTTCTTTTTTTTTCTATTCATTTTTTCTTTAAAGTTGTGAGTATGGAATCTACATATTTTGCATTATGGGTAGGATCCAGAAATATCCATACCTCACCCACAGATGGCCTTTTTTCTAAGACCCTATCGGGGATTCTTATGAACACTCAGTCCATACATTTGTTTTGTTAGGGTTCTTTCAATTTTTGACATATATGGACCAGTTAAGGAAAATCTGTCAACACCACTGGAGAGAGAGCCTTGAAATTAGTGAACTTGCCAAGTTTAAAAGTGATAGTCCTAAGCAAACAAAGATATAGCTCTGCAAAATTGCTAAAATTTGTTGGTCAAAAGTTGAAAAACAATCTTGGAAAGGTGTATTATAACATTTCGCTTATTACGTGTTCTTGATTTAAGATTCCTCATGGAGTGGCCTCTGATTCTGGATATTATGTATTGGCTGTTAATGGAACAGGAGGTGCCAGTTTCTCAGAAAGGAAATATATTCGTTTTGAGGAGAAGGGCTTTACAATTTATATACAGACTGACAAAGCAGTGTACAAACCTGGACAGAATGGTAGGTACAGCATAAAATCTGTGCTGTAAATTTACATGAAACTTTCAATTTCTTTAGGAGTTACTTTTAATTTGTACTGTAGCATCTTACAGAGTACATTGCATTCTTCCTTATTAAAAGTTTTTAATTTGTTGTTAGTTACATCAAGGCACTGTGAATAACAGTAAAGTTTTTATCTGCTTTTAGTTAAATTGCAAGATATTCATCTTGACAGTTGTTGTTGTTGTTGTAGTTTTGATGCGCATTTTTGCAGTCCATCCAGACCTTAAAGTTTATAGAGGCAGTGTGAGTGTCACTTCTTAATTCGGGTTGTTATTGTAATATTAAATAAGTAAACAAGTAGATATTAATTGATTTTATCGCTAAATTTAGTGAAACTGCAATAAAAACTAATTTGATGAGAATATACATGTTAGGAGCAAGAGTGAAGACATTGGGCCACAAAATGGCAGGATTGTTTAAAAGTCCTCAGTGCATGTACACTTGAAAAAATTTCATGTGGAAACCATTGAGATGAAAGTGTTCTTGTGGGAAAAATTCTTTCCCAGTTAGTGCAATCAGTAGGTCAGAGCAAGATCACAGGAAAGGAGAGCCAGCCCAGATAACCAGTCGTACTGTACAGTCGTACTGTAAAATTCCGAAAATAAGCCCCGGGACTTATATTTTTCAAAGGCCCTTTTTGAGGGTTTATTTTTGGAGGGGCTTATCTACGGAGGGAATTTACTGTTTTTGCTTTGTTTTACTCTGTATTTGAGAGCAATTTCCAAGTACAAGCCCCCAGGGGGGCTATATTTGGAGGGGCGATTGAACAGAAGGTTTTTTGTGTTATGAATTTGGGGGTTTATAATTGGAGGGGCTTATTCATGTATGTAGAGGGGCTTATTTTCAGAATTTTACGGTATATGCCAACTCTCCCGGATATGGCACTGATCTCCCGGGTTTACCTCGGTGTAAGGACTTGAGAACTTTTTCTTTGTTTGTACCTTTTGTTTGTCTAGGTTTTATTGTGGTTGACTTCTTTGTTTTCTTTGTTTTACGTCACCGGTGAGTTTAACAAGTTCTTACACCGAGGATGAGCCGATCTCCTGCTCTCCTGAACGGGCCACCAAATCTCCTGGATATAAAAATGGAGTTTAATGTACATGTAGTTTGTAATAATTAAGCTCGTTTTTTCTCAAAATTCAAACTTTTTTTATTGAGCATCGGTTGCGGAGACATTTTGCACGTAGTTAGTTACTCAGATGACAAAAACTATTTTGTCATTAAAATTGATAGTATGTACTTCATGTAAGACTTCATATAATGTCCTAGCCATTCCCATGTCTTAATTTTGGCAGCTGGATCAATTTGCAGGCCAGGTTGGGGGGGTGCATTAACATTTAGGTGGGATAGTGCAAAAGAGAGAGTCTCCAGATTTTAGATCTCCAGAGGTTGGTATCTATGTAACCAAGAAAATTCGAAGAGGCCCTTAGAGCATTCAAAGCACATGCATCTGAGCACCATAAAATTTGCACTCTCTCTATGTAAATCAAGTGTTGTGTTGTTTTACCTATACAGCTGTATTCAGTGGCAGATCCAGGCGAGGAGCTCAGGGGGCCCAGGACTCCCCCCCTGCTCATGTTTTGACCAAACTGAGGTCCGAAGGGCCAAAAAAATTTTTTTGGAGACCACCCCCCCCCCCCCTTATCTCAGGGTCTGGATCCAGCACTGGTATTTATAAAATTTTTTGTTCTTCAGTAGACGATTTCATGATTGTTGGTTAAAGGGCCTGGTTTAATATAGACTTAATATACTTTAATGGTAAAATGAAAGCATTTCATGGTTATTGTAGCAGAATTTCTACGGATAGTTAATTTAAATGGCCCTCTAATAAACACAAATTTCATGTTTGCCATTTTTACATCTACCATAATACACCTTGTTTGCCCCCCAAGGTGTACATGTGTATTATGGGAGATGTGCAAATGGCCAATTGATATTTTCAAATTTCCATTGTCTCAATTTTAATATTCATATTATGCTATAATATGTTATTCAAAATGTGTTCATAAAATGATTTAAAATAATATTTATTACAAGCACTAACTGTTCTTTCTGTTGTCTTATTCAGATGACAGTGGACATTTTGGTGAGTAATAAAGAGATATAATTAACAATTATTCTTTGAAATCGAGGTGAATAGTGGCAAAATATTTACCGAGCCGCGAAAGCGGCGAGGTAAATATTCCCAAAGCCACTATTCACTGAGATTGAGAAGAATAATTGTTTTAGTATATACACACGAAGTGATCTCAACAAAATCAGAAAGGAAACCATTCAAAAGTAGGATTTGATTGACAGATCAAATCACGCGTAAGTTTAAAAATAGATCTTTGCAGAATTTTCAAACATGGCAATTCACAAGTTTACTCATTTCGCAAACAACAGCGTAATGGCTTCAATGGAATCGCTAAAAGTTTGAACTGTTTCCTTACCTGAGAAAAAAAGTAGAGCTGTGTTGTTTTCTGTTGACTCGCCAAGTTTATAGCCAAAAGGGCATGTTGTGTCGTTCTTCGCATGAAGTGCTGACAAAAATGGCGGCTCGGTTGCTCGAGGTAAGAGGTCGTCTTCCTGTATCATTCTTTTTCCTGTTTACTTGAAATGTAGAATTTCTGCAAACATTTCCTTTTAAATTTGTTTGTCATAAATAAACTTCGATTTTTGAGCCAAAATTTTCTTCTTAGAAAACGCTGAGTTCATTTAAACGGCTTCTTCTCACGTGAATACACGGGAGTTGTAAACAATCCATCGAGCACAAAACTCCTGCTACAGTAAATTGAAAAACGCCGTATTGAATCCTTCCAAGTCTTTTCTTGCCTTAAAAAAAGTCAGCCCTAGGATTTTGTCGACTTTTAAAAGATCGTTCTCTAAAAAAAACGCGAAAAACACCGAGCTCACACATTATCCACTCGCTAGGAGGTGAATATTGTTGAATAGCCCGAGATAGCGAACCAATCAGATTGCTTAAATCACCAAGATCACTGAGTGTGTATATACTAATATTAAATGTACACATATTTCCTTTTTAAGGGTCAACCATTACTGACTTTGAGCGTACAGTTTGCAAAGGTTTTTACAATCAACTTGGCACTTGGAGCCCTTCAATTATTATTATTGACTGATTTTATCTTATTATTTCTTTTAGGATCCTAATGGTAACAAAATGGCACATTGGGTCAACCTCGACAGTGCATCAGGTTTTGTTTTTAAATTAATTGCTTTGTGAATATTATGTAATAATAACCATATACAATACAGAAAAATACAACACAGAAAAAATGGGTGAACAAGTTCAGAGATGCCAACCTCTGGAGATCTAAAATCTGGAGACTCTCTCTTTTTCACTACCCCCGGAAATTCAATAAACCACCGCCCCCCCTCCCCACCCCTGACAAAGATGGGAATTAATAAGGACATTGTCTGAAGTCTTACATAAAGTACATACTATCAAAATTCGCATTTTGATGCCAGAAATAATCTTTGTCAATGACTAAAATAAATACAGGTGCAAAAATGCCCCAGAAACCGTACTACGAATGCGAAAAATTCAATTTTGCGCTAAAAATGGGCTACATCTCAAACTAACACACATAAAAGCTCAAAAGATGATTTTATCCGGGAGATATGGTGACCCATACGGGAGACCGGGAGATTGGTGCCGTATCCGGGAGACTCCCGGATAATCCGGGAGAGTTGGCATGTATGCAAGTTTCACCACTGTCAGCTATGCTATGAAGTATGTATTTCACCGAAAGCTGGCCGGGATACAAAGTCATTTTTGTTAGGAGGCAGAGAGGTTGTTGTAGAAGGATAAGAATTGCATGCAAAGTAGATCATCACAGATTAAGACACAACTTTATGCAGCTGCGAAAAAAATCAGGCTTGCCAGGATTTGAATCCTGACCAGCTTTGGGATACCAGTGCAGCACAGCTGTAAATAACTGAGCTAACATTCAGGTACAGGTGACATACTGTTAAGGGGGAAACCTGCAGTGGATTAGTATCCCATCCCATGACTACTGTTGGGGAACTGGGGTGGGTTGGGGAGCGGAGGTGGGGAGAGAGGTGAGGAAGCTTTCTGAAACTAACATGAAGTACCTAAGTTGGTGTAGTGTTAATAATAAAAAAATGTCTTTCCATGATAGGGGTGATCAAGAGAGAATTTCTCCTGTCAACTCAGCCAGTTGAGGGAAACTGGAAGATATCTGTTTCAGCTGCAGAGGTATGTACATTTAAGTCCTGTTAAATATTCATATAGTATTATGATGGCGATGTTTTTGAAGGAGATGGTATCTTGCATTTTTCTTGCAATGAAGATCAAATATTACGAGAATCGTTGATCGTGATACAATTATGTCATGCAGAGCTGTGCTGTCAACCCCCCACTCTTCAAATATTTAGAATTGATAGGGAAGGGGTGATAGATATGATGACTTTATAATGTAGAGCACATGACGTCATTTGTGCAAAAAATACTCGTTGACTCCTGACACAAAATGCACGAAAAAGGGTGTAGTTAGTATTGTAACATTTGACGTGATTCGTGAGGTTTACTTCCCACCAATCAAATCTTAATATTATATTACAATGGCATACCAGAGTTTAAGAGGAAATGGTCAATATTAACTGTAAAATAGCTCAAACAATGCAATATATTTGAGATTTTCTTGTCAGTAAGTTGAATGTACAAGAATTTCTTGTATATAAAAATTATTGCGTTGTTTGAGCTATTTATGGCAAACCTCAGCGATCATCCAGGAGATTTCAGACTCCAATCTGGAAACCGGGAGACAGCTCTGTTCATGACAGCTCTTTGAAACAGTTAGACAGTTTGAAAATTGATATGTGAATGAATCAATTTTGAGCAATTAATGAATGAGGCTGAGTAGAATCCAATATGAAGAATTAAGCAGATCGAGGAGGGTGTTCAGCCAGGGTGGATAACACCCTCCAAGATCTGCTTAATTCTTTATATCCTGCGAAAGAGGAATTCATTAATATTATTGCTTTATTATTTATTCAAAATAATTCCGAGTTTAAAAACGTAGCTAAAACATGCTTACCTGCATCGACGTTAAGTTCATCTTCGATAGTGTACGTTCAGCTCCGCAAATAATTATTCTCCAAATAGCAGATGTCACCTTCCAAGTTGTCTTCTTGCTGTTTTTGCCATGTTTTTAGCTATTATTTGCCTAGTTCCTGCATGTAGTTCTTACTCTTGAAACGAGTCAAATGTCCATTATTTCTTTTCACGACAAAAACAACTCAACCTTGTCCCCAGGTCTTCTCAGTAACGGTGCCTTAACCTGTAGCGGGCTGCATTTTTGACGTCATTTCCTCATTAAACACAAAATTTTTCCAGAGGCAGATAATTTGCATTCAAAATTTGCGTTCACATGTTTTTGATAAAGCCCGTGTATCTGTGAAAAAGAACATTGCAAGACATCATTGTACATGTATTCATTTGTTTGTTACATGTAAATGAAGGGTCTATGTGTATATTGACTTTTACAACAAAAGTTTATCCTGATGCCTGCTCAAAAACATTAGCCTGAGAAAACAGACTTTTCTCCCCACTCATTGCCGAAATGTCTGTTTTCACGGGCTACAAAAACGTGCTCATCAAAAACATTTGTTTTGATTCATTATTAGGATCAAAAAGCAGAGCAAGTGATTGAAGTGAAGCCTTATGGTATGTACGTGTATACTTGCTTTGTAAAACCAATGCACCAATCTTCTGTTGGTTTGAGAATTTTGTAATTAACAATACAGGGGACTTTTTGAATGTGTTTTACCACCATCTCATTTGGGGTCAAATTACAGTGTACATGCAATTGTAAACCGCTAGAAGATTCAGTAATTCATGCCAGTTTATTTTCGGCCCTGTTTTTCATACTTCTTTGGAAAACAATTAAATAATCACTAAATTATTTCATAGTAGGCGGGATACGTGTATGATCGGCGGGGTGAGTGTTTTCCTGAATCAACTGTTGTTGACAAGTGACTTACATTTCCACACCTGTGCAGTTAAGTCATCTTCAGATCAAGTCAAAGTGAGTTGCATCATGTCAGTTGATGGTTTTAAACTCCGATCGGGTTATTGACTTGATTTGCCATCTGTCAGTTATAATTTGTGGTGTTTTTGGCTTATGTCTTCATTCATAATCAATCTTTCAAAATCAATAGTTCAAACTCATTTCTTTTTTTGCACACAAATTATCTGAGAGTTACTCTTACCATGGAACACTTTGAATCTCCTTTGTAGTGCTCCCCAAGTTTGAAGTGAAAGTAGAGCTGCCACCCTACCTACTTGAAAAAGAGAAAGCCCTTCATGGGAAAGTGACTGTAAGGTGTGTTAAAATTAGACTCAGAGGCAAATGTATTATCACTATCAATTTGTAACTGACCCTGATCATGGTTCATACAATCTTGAAAAGGTTTTGAATTTTAGTGGTCGTCTTGAAAAGTTCTTTGAATTCGGTTAAGGTCCTTGAAAAGTACTTGATTTCCTTATTAGGTTTTGAAAAGTCCTTGAAATTCACTACCTTGTGTACACCAGACACCCGTTTTCTGTAAAATTATATTTTTTTGCTGAGGGAAATCTGGCTCATCCTTGGTGTAAGAACCTATAAAACACACGGGTAACTTAAAAACATTTTTGTGCTTGAACAATATTTTATTTCTAGTGTTTCTTTATTTCAAATGCTATTTCTGTACCTCAGGTGCAATTGCAAGTCATACCCAGTCATTCTGCAAGGTGTTGTTGTGGAAAGTGGTATTAAATAATGTGATCAACCATGGCTGAAGAAGTTGAAATCGTATATGACTCCATGACGTGTTTTAGCCAATAAAGTGTTCAAAAAGGGGAGAAAGAATGCTGATTTATTGAATAAATCTTAGTCCTTGAAAACTGTTATAATTTGTCCTTCAAAAATCCTTGAAAAGTCCTTGAAAAGTCGGAAGTTGTATGAACTATGGACCCTGTGCTGTCAGCTTGATCTCACTTTGTTAAATGCTGCTCCGTACCTTATGAGAAGTTGAAGGGTAATTGGCAAAAAAATTAAAGAAGCTACGTCATGAAATTTATCAAAGTTCAAACAGATCGCGAAACACAGCAAATACAAAAGGTGGAACCAGACAAACAAACCTGAAGAAGACCACTATGGACTACAATGATGATTTCATTGAGATGTTTAAAGACAGTTTATTTTGATATACTGGTAATGCTTGGGAAACATATTCTTATTTTGTTTGACACAAATGAAGCTGTCATTTTGTCAAGCATTAACCATTGTCTCCAGTCTCTCAAGAGAAATTTGAAGCAAAGGTTATGCCAACTCTTTTATTTATTTATTTATTTATTTATTGGGGGGGGTGGGGGAGGAGGGGGGACAAGGTGTATTGTGGGAGATGTGCAAATTGCAGATGTTGATGTTTATTACTTTTTGTCATATTTTTTGACCCCGCAAGGTACACTTATGGCAAAGGTGCTAAGGGACGAGCAAATATTCAGTTGTACTTTGATTATTATAGTAGAGGAAAGAGGCCTGCATTAGCTAAAGATATTGCTGTAAGTACTGATTATTTCTTCACCATATTAACAAAGACTGTTTATTTTTATTGATTGTTGACATCTTTTTAAAATTGTTGTTGTTTTTTGTGGTTGTTGTCGTATATAACTGCAGTAATTTGTAAGCAATGGATATGCACACAACTTCACTTTTTATTTAACAAACAATGTTGTGTAAAGCAGAATGTTGAAGCAAATCAAGCAAAAGAATTAATTGAATACATGTTTGTGTCGTGGGCAAAGGCTCCAGCTACAGTATATCATTTCATAAACCAAAAAGTTCTTTACAGACAAAAAACTGGGTGAAAGTGAGAGGCAACAGTCCCATTTTGATCAAACCCCCAAACTCGACCAGTCTGTCAAATGCCTGAGGCTGTTTTCTTTTTACTCAGTTGGATTTCATTCACATTGACAAGGATGTAGTCAATTTAACTTTCTTATTTTGCATTTTTCTCTAAACGATGTGGTTCTTGTGCCTGAGAAAATTCTGTTGAAATAAAATGATGCCATCAGTAACACCATTTTTTTTTGTTACAATATTCTTATTAACAATAATACGAAGAAGTAAGGTATTAAAAAAAGAGATAAAGACAAAACACAAAGCTACAAAGAGGGATGGAGGGAAAGTAACAAGTGCAGTAAGAAGGTGTTTCTTCAGTTTTTTTCTTAAAAGTTGATACACTAACTGAGCTTAGAAATGTCTGGACTAAGTGAATTAAAAAACAAGGGACCTTGGTATTGAAACGAAAAGCGTCTTTTGGTAGTTCTGAACTTAGTAATATGAAAAGAACTGGCATTCCAGGTTGTTAACTACAGCCACCATACTTGTACTTTCAGCATAAATGAGGATGGCCAAATGTCATCATTATCATTATTAATTGAGCACAATCTAAAAACGTTTTTTGGTAGGTTGATGGAGAAGGCAGTTTTACTTTTGACAAGGGTCTCATTCAGCAGTTGTTCAAAGAATCTTTCAGCTGGAACCGCGATACCACTATCCTATATCGCTATCATTATTTTGTGTCAGTGAATGCTACTTTCCATGAAGACCTAACCGGCAAAGTTGCCAGCGCACAGGGGAGTGTTTCTCTCCATGAGATGGATGTGAAGCTAAAATTTCCTGACTTCAACCCTGGTTATTTTAAACCGGGATTACCATTTGAGGTCATGGTAAGTAGACATAAGATTCAAGGACGTTAAGGTCGGCAGAGATTCTGTATCAAAATTATACTTCATATTGCCTCCGTTTTATTTTGATTTCCCTCCTCAGGGGCACCCATCGAGAATATAGTTCAAAAGCACTTAAACATAGCATTGTTGAACGTATTTTAGTATTTAAACTGTAGATATAGGCATATTTTTATCCCCTAAAAATTTTTTATCTGTTCGGATTTCCTAGCTGAAAGTCTAGTGATCCGAAAATTATAGGGATCAAAACTTACCTTGTCGAAAATTTTAGATGTTCGAAAATCCTAGGAGAGGCAGGCAAGCAAGAAATCTTACAACAAATGTTCCGAAAATTCTAGATCTCAAATCGTCTTCCGAACAGATATTTTCCGAAAATTGACGTTGGGTGCCCCTGCCTCCTCTCCCCAACTATCTCTCTCTCTGATAAATGCCCAATACACAATATGGACACCTTGGGCTCATTGTTATGCACGAAGTACAACGACTGATATCGCCGGGACAGGTTTACGAGATATTCATAACTGGAAAAAAAATTAGGGAACGAGCTGAAACACTGTTACAGGCCCACAGTAATTGGCAAAATCTGTCATCACTGAAATTAACGCCTTATATCTTTTTATAAAAGCACTCTTTCTGAATTCCGCTCAACACATAACACACTACAGTCTACCAAAAATTACCTCTCTGCTGTGCTAGCTCGTGAAGTTGTGTATCTGCGCTAAATTCTTGGACACAAAATTGTCGGAAAAGTCAAATTTTGAGACGCCCGAAGGTGTCCCGACTAAAGAACGAGTTCCAAGCAATATGCCGTAAAATTCCGAAAATAAGCCCCTCCAAATATAAGCCCCCCAAACTCTTAACGCAAAAACCCTCCGTTAAATCGCCCCTCCGAAAATAAGCCCCCCCGGGGGCTTGTACTTGGAAATTGCCCTCGAATACAAAGCAAAACAAAGCAAAAACGGTAAATTTCTTTCCAACAAGGCAAGCTCAATCGATTTTCTAACGCAAATTTCCCTCTGTAGATAAGCCCCTCCAAAAAAGGCCCCTCAAAAAGGGCCTTTGATAAATATAAGCCCCGAGGCTTATTTTCGGAATTTTACGGTATGTAATAATGGTAATTACGGTCAATTACATTCCACTCTCTAATTTTGTGTATAAGCTGCAATGTTTTCAAGGATTTTTGAGGCGAAAAAAAAAAACGTACAAAGAGTTTTGGTATGAAATTTGGTTTTTTATTTCCACATTATTAAAAATCACTGAAACAATGTTTGATTCATAGCCCGTTTGTTACTTTCCTGGTACTTTTGAATCGACATTTTGTTCGCAGTCTGCGTGTCACAGGTGCAAGTGAACACTTTAAATTATGCGCTACTCTTTACAAGCAATATATGGGTTCTTTAAAAGGACAGGTTCACGGTTAAGCGCATGCTCATTAATTAAATTACTTTTTTCCAATTTATTATCAATTCTGTCGGTTAATAATCTCACTCACATGTATCTCAGGGATCTCAGAGTGTATTTCAAAGTAGAAGTGTATTTCAGAGTAACCTAAAGTAGGATGGAGGAGTACTAAAATCGCAGAAAATATTAGTGGATTATGCCAACACTACCAACGTTGAATTTATTGTTGACCCGAAGGTGTTATTCCATGGTTGATTAATTTTCAGCTATTTGCAAATATTTAAGTTGATCAAGTGGGGAGTGTGCAGTTTGGTTCTTTGACAACATTATGACATGATCATATTGCTTGCATAGACGATACAGCGTATCCCGGCAACAAAACAGCATTTTGATAAATGAATATCGTCCCTATCCGAGAACACTAGAAAGTCTAACCGTTTGCAGAAGTCTTTACAAAGGCAGCACTTTCTCCTTAGTTTTTTTTAACACCCTGAGGGTTTGTCCTGCTGGGGTATGAACCAGTGGCTCCTCGCTCGGCAAACCTGCGCTTATCCAGTTGAGCTTACCGGGTGTCAATTGTTGTTGTTGTTGTTGTTGTTGTTGTTGTTGTTGTTGTTTTTAGCTTCAAGTTGTAAAGCCCAGTGGAGATCAACACAGTCCAGATACATTGAAGTCAATGAAAGTCAATATTAGAACATCGTACAACTGGAGACAAAGAAGCTCCGAAGAATCCGTAACTCCCTCTGAAGATGGAAGTATCATTATTAAGAGACAGATCCCTTCAGATGCAGAGAGTATACAGCTACAAGTAAGATGACACCTTGTTATGCCGCACTTGTCCATGTCCATGTTTTCTACATGTCTTTTTCTTGAATAATAAAAAGATGAGCAGATTCATGAAAGAAATGGGCGCTTGTGCCAAAAACGAGTTAAAAGGATGAAGGTTTGTTTAGAGTGGAAAGTGTACTCAGCTCATCTAGTTAGTTTAGACAGGCACCCCACTCAAATAATTAGCAAAAAAAAAATCCGAATAGAACACAACGGGATTAAAAACCCTAACTGGCAGGCGGCAACATGTTGGCTATTCATAAACGTGGCTGAAGATTTGAAATCGTGATGACCATGAAAAAATCCAGCAAGTGGCCAGAGCGGAACTCGAACCCGGGACTGGGCATGCCGGATTGTGAGCCTGACGTGCTCTCCACTAGACCACGCTGCCTGCTGCGGTTTGCAAGAGGTTTAAGTTTGCCCGCGCTGCATCCCATTGCCCGGTCAGGAAAAAAAATACTTTTTTATACTGTTTTACTATTTTTACAGGCAAAATATTCCGAGGGTCAGAAGACTGCAAGCGCATCTTTTGGGGCTAGTAAGGCGGATTCACCAAGCAAGTCCTATATACAGTTATCAACTACTACACCTTCTGTCAAGGTATATGAAAATCGCTCCAAAGCGCTCCTAAATCACGCTTGTTTAGCCTGCCATAAAGGCATGACTTTTCAGTGAACGCCATTGTGGTATTCTGTTTCACTTTCGGTATTTAGAGGTGGTTATTTTTAGCTTGGGTTGTAAGCCAATACATCTCATGAAAGGTAATTGATTTTTTCTATTTATGCAGGCTGGTGACAATATTGCGTTGGATATCAGAGCCTCGTTTTCTTTCTCAGAGTTACGATACATGGTAAGTTGTGTCAGAGAATCCTGTAGCCCATAGGAAAGTTAGAGTTAATGGGTTGGAATATAATTTAGTGTTAAGCACTGTAGCGGATAGCTCCTGCAGCGGCACGAAAACCACGCCGGATAAGAACGGTGATTTCGGCGCGGTTTCTGTAACGGAGGGAAGCTGCTCCGCGCCGATCTGAAAAAGTGGATCGTCACTTATCGGGTAGGTTTCTGTATGTGCCTTTCTTTGGCGCACTGTGAACAGCTGCCCATACTATACCGAGCAGCTTTCCAAGGCGACGTTGAAAACTTTCCGTTGTAAGGTAGACATATCCTTTTATCCTCTCCTATTGCTTCTATTAGTAGTGTAGTCGAGGTTTTTGTACTACTTCGCATGCTATATGTATCACTGAAGATCATTGGTTCAAGACCTGGTATCTGTTTCTTCTATTGTTTTTTTACCCTTCCCCTGCATTAACCACCTAAGGTTAGACTACGAGTAACCTGCGCCACAGACGGAACTAAACACTAGTTAAGTCTGTCTGCGAAACAGCGCCGAAATCCTTGTACTGGGCCTCACCTGTGTACCAAGATTTGAGTACGCACCGTGACCGGCCTTTTTAAAAAATCCATGGTCGATTTTCCAATCAGAATGAAAGGAAATTCGAAACGTGCTTCTGATAATTCGTTGAGTCCGTTCGGGGCCCAGAACAAGACAGACGTTACTATCCGAGGTTGATTTACGCCTACGATGCAGGCTAGATTACGAGTAGTCCATCACTTATTTTCCTCAGGTAGAGTGTCGCGCACGAAATACGCGAGGGCGTTAAAATCGCAGCGCGCGAGGAGAGGCTTGGTCTCAGTCTTCAGCCTTTAGTGTCTCGATGCACCCGTGGGAAGTACTGCCGGCGCATCAAGACACCCAAGACTGGAGACTGAACCTATCAGAGGCGTGGTGCGGAGGGAGGAACATAATATTATATCGTACCTTGCAAGAGTATTACCAGTAACGTGTAATTTGAATATCTCGTTTGCTTCACTATCCCTGATGAATATGAAGGACGACTCGTAGTCTTGCCAAAAGTAGCTACAGTGAACGCTCAAAACTTTCTAATTCTATTTTTGTCATGTCCTAATAGTACTTGCAAAAGCTCTACTAGTAAAGGCGATGTTACACGGGACGATTCGCAAAGACGATTTTTGCAGTGCTGGAGCAATGTTGTAACCATTCGAAACAATGTCGCAACAATGTTGCAACGCCGTGTTGCGCTAAAAATCGT